CCTGCTTCCCATCCAACTCACCGCTTGTGGCCTCGGAAAGCAGTCAAGGACGGCTCAAAACCTTGGGACACTGCTCCCATGCGGGAGACCCAGAAAAGGCTCCTGGCTCCTGGCTTGGGATCAGCTCAGTTCCAGGCGTTGCGGCCACTTGGAGAGTGAATCAGTGGACGGAAGATCTTCTTCTCTATCTCTTCTCTCTGTAAATCTGACTTTCCTATAAAAATAAACAAAATGTTATCTTAAAAAAGTGTTTATACTCTATAATAAACTAAGAAGCTCACTCCTGGGAATTTATCCTCTACAAGTTATTCAACAGAAGAAGAAAAAACACTTGAGATACAAATACTGCAGCATTGTCTCTGATAGTCAAGAATACAAGGAGAACAAAACTATGGAAACAATAACAAGAAATGTCTTGTTAAATTATAGCATATGGTGACAAAGAACTACTCCAGCTACTAATAGTAAACATGAAGAGTAGATAGTATGATATAGAAAAATACCATGACATTAAGCGATGGCATTACGTGAAAAGCAGAACCCAAAGGATGCATTTGCTATGATCACTGTGATCCTGCAGGCCAGCTTCGCTACACAGACAAAAGCTGAAAGAGACAGAGAAGAAAACAGAGGGCCCAGCACTGTGGCATACTGGGTTAAACAGCTGCCTGTTCAACTCCCAGGCACTCCACTTGGAATCCAGCTCCCTGTTAATGGGCCTGGAAAAGCATCAGAGGACTTCTCAGGTGTGTGGGCCCCTGCACCCACTTGGGAGATCCAGTGAAAGCTTCTGGCTCCTGTTTTCAGTCTGGCCCAGGACTTGCTGTTGCAACTATTTGGAAAGCAAACTAACAGATGGGTCTCTTCTTTTTCCTCTCTCTGTAGCTCTGCCCTTCAAACAGACAATTTAAAAAAAAAAAAAAAAAAGGGAACAAATGAAATGAAAGCAAAGAAGTTGGATGGTATAATTCGAAAATTTTCTTTAATATTATACTATCCTTTCAATTGCAAATTTTTCAAACTTTACTTGAAAATCAGAGTTATAGAGAGAAAGGGAGAGACACAGATAGAGAGCTTCCATCTGCTGATTTATTTGCTCAAGTGGCCATAATGGCTAGAGCTGAGGTGATTGGTAGCTAGTAACCAGGAGCCTCCTCTGGATCTCCCACGTCAGTGTGGGGTCCCAAGGCTTTGGGCTGTGCTCTGTTGTTTTCCCAGGCCACAATCAGAGCTGGATGGGTGGAATTGCCGGGACATGAAACAGTGCCCATTTGAGATGGTTGGCACCACAGGCAAGAACTGGGCTCCTGTGCCACCGTGCTGGCCCCAAATTTTCTAATTCTTTGACATACATTTGAATTTCTGAGTTTAACTCATAGAAAAGAACAGAAACCCTGGCTCTTCTCATCTTAAATTAACAGTCTTCTAGTTGAAAAAGGAAAGCGCCGTAGCATAATCCCAGTGTCCAGTGTGTAGACGGAGAGGAGGAAAATAAGGCTGGCTCCTGCAGGCCTGATGGCAAACTCAGGAACCCAGAGAGGGGAAAGGAGAGGGAGCAGCAGATCCCATGTCAGGGATGTAGTGTGTCCTCAAGAACACCTGGAGAGAGGCCTAGGGTGGCAAAAAAAAAAAAAAAAAATCAGCCCTGTATCTACGTGTCTCACCAGGCTGCTGTGTGCCATGGCCTCCCTTCCGTGCACCTCACAGGTCATTTATGAGGCTCTTGAGATATCACAAGGCCGTGCTCTGTGGCAGAAGAGATGTCACAGAGAGGGACACCTCCTGGGGGTCGTGTCCAAAGCCACGCCCTGTGTGCCTGATAGGAGGGGGCAGTCATTTAATGCCTATTATCTGGCTGCTATCCAATTGGGCAACAGTACTCAGAGCACCTGCCCTCTCAGAGCTGAGTAACCTAGTGAAACTGCCCTGCACTGAACAAGCGCCAAGTATGCTTAAGTGACACAGTAGCCTTATGAAGGAAAGGGATCTGGCTGGGAAATCAGAAAGCCTAGGGCACTCCCAACACCCTGGAGATCACAGCACTGATGAGAAAAACGTCAGGTGACCATGGAACCCAACTTGGGTTCTATGACTCTATAACTCTGTTCCAACCCAATACTGGGTCTACTCGAGTTGGCCTTTGTTTCAGCCACCTGGCTGGAGGGACAAGATGTAGCTCTTCTACAAGCAAGCAACTCTGCAAGCCACTCAGAAAAGGTTTCCCCCTACCCTCACCCCTACCCCAAGACTCTGCCAGGCTTACCATCATCGACAGATCACCTTCCCCAGGGCAGTTTCTTGTACATCCCTTGCTGGCTGGTTTTGACATCAAAGAGAGGACGGTCTTACACTTGGCCCCACTCTCTCTCAAGACTCCCCTAACTGCTGCTCATAGGCAATTTGTGATTAAGGTTGAACCAATGATGGCCATCATGTATGAAGTCAGAGAGGGGCGTGGTCACTGAGGTAAAAACAAAGGAGAATCAGACACAGACCACAGGTTAGGCGCAACCCCTGGCTGAGACCCCAGCTCAGTTCCTCAATCTTGCATATGTTTTCTCAAACATCAACTAAGACGGGCAGAGACACTGCAAAGTGCAAGTTGCTCCAAAAATACTATCAGCACTATAAACTAGAGTGTTCTTGGATGAATGAGGTGGACCTTTGAAGGTTGAAGATGACTTAAGAAAATGTGGTCAGGAAGAGACCACAAAAGAAACGGCTCACAGCGTGGATGTCCCAAGTGTGGTTACAGCAAAATGCTTGTGTAGGAGAAAAGCTGAGGCAAAGCTGGAAGGACAGGTGGACTGCACTGTTGGTAAAAGGGGGTGCAGAAGAATCAAGGTCCTGTAGGAACACCAACCTGATAGAGCTTAAGGATAGAGTGGGGAAGGGTCAGAATGCAAGCAAACTACAGGAGGATGTGACAAACTCCAGCCAGGAGAAATAACGAGGGCCTGAATGAAACCAGTGGCAGGAGGGCTTAAAAGGAAGAAGGGGTAGGGGACGGCAGGGCATGCTTGGCTCAGAGCCTCGGCCTAGCCTGGATCTGACTTGTCCAGACTTTATCTGTATGTCTTCCTTTTTCATTTAGCCTTTGAAATGAAATACATAAATAAATAAAATTAAAGGAGGCGGTCAGAATTGTGGCATGTGAGCTAAGCTGGAGCCTGCTGCAAGGCCCGCATCCTATGTAGGTGTGCCAGTTCCAGTCGCAGCTGCCTGTCATGTGCCTGGGGAAGCAGACAACCCAAGCCCTTGGTCCCTGACACCCATGTGGGAGAACCAGGAGGAGGTCCAGGCTCCTGATTGGGCCTGGGGTCCTCTGAGGAGTGAAAGAGCAGATCTCTTTTTACCTTCCAAATGAATATTTACAATCTACAGAAAATGTGGAGTTTAGAAATATGGACTGTATCATAAAATGATAATAATAATACAAATAAAAAGTAAATTAAAAACTTTCTACAAGCCATGCGTGGCATATATGAATTTTGTTAAATAAATTGGCATATATTATATGCATGAAAATAAATTTCACTTAGAATGAAAAAAACATACAGACAGGAATTTGAAGAACACTAACACTTAAATGATGGACAAAGAAAAACTTGAAAAGAGAGGAACTGCTACAGAAATGGGGAAGGCCCAGGGTTTTCCTCAAAGGAGTAAAGGTCAATTAAAAGAACACACATAGCAGGGGAAGAGCTCGCTCAAGTCAGCAGCTGGTGCCCTGAGGACGCTGGAAGGGCAACCTCCTTGAAGCATCTAGTGTGGCTGACACCTAAACAGGAGTAAGTGAGCAGACAAGATGTGCAGACCACACTTACAGTCTGCATGGCTGTAAGGAGCAAGTGTAGTTAGTAGTCAACAGGGAATCCAAGACGTTTTAGCTAAAATACATTTTATCAGGAACAAATGCCCACTCACACACAGAATAAGTGAGGGAATAAGACGCTGAATAAGAATTAGACGCTGGCTGAAGGACCCAGTTCAAGCAAGGAGTGACTGGATCCGGTGAAGTAACTAGTGCCTAGGGTCCTCACCTTGCACGCGCTCAGATCCCTTATGGGCACCAGTTGTAATCCTGATTGCTCCACTTCCCATCCAGCTCCCTGCTTGCATCCTGGGAAAGCAGTTGAGGCCGGCCCAAAGCTTTGGGATCCTGCACCCACATGGGAGACCCAGAAGAGGCTCCAGGCTCCTAGGTTCAGATATGCTCAGCTCCGGCCGTTGCGGCAGCTTGGGGAGTGAACCAGCGGATGTAAGATCTCCCTGTCTCTCCTCCTCTCTGTACATCTGCCTTTCTAATAAAAAGAAATAAATCTTAAAAAAATTAAAGAAAAAATGAGGGATGGCTGTTCCACTACAATTAAGAGTTAAGTTCATTCCTTTCACAATTATTCGTGAATAGGTTCCGTGAGCACACAGGTTGGCGCTCCAAAAGCTGAGTGTTTTAGGAGGGAAGCGAGAGGTGGTTCCAGAAAGATGTCTGCACTTGGATGTAGGCTGGACCGTGGCCTTCTCATACGGGGGAAGAAATTCAAACATGGCGATTCGTTCCCCGAAGCACCGCACACCCTTTCAATTACAAAAGCAGCTTAAGGACAAAGGAGAAAGCAGTGTGGCAGAGGGGAGCCCCGGCAAGGGGGGGACGTGCATTTCCTAAGACGCCTGGTCAGATGGCCAGGCCCGAACAGAACACTAAGAGAACCCCGGGGAGACGCGGGGCACCGCTCCAGGCAGCGGCGTCTGAGAAGGAGCCGAGGGCCGGCGAAGCGGACCCTCGACCGCGGAAGCTTCCGAATCGTGGCTCCTCAAACCCCGCATCCTTCAGCAGCCCTTAGTCCGCGAGCCGAGGGCGGAACAGCCCACGACACAAAGCGCCCGCCATCACCGGGGACTGGGTCGGTCGTGATGACGACGGCCACACACCGGAAGAGAAGTCCGCCAGGCCCCGCCCCTGCCCGCCGCTCCCTGGCCGGACGTGAGGTCCGTGGCTCCGCCCCGAGCTCGTTACCTCGCGAGATTTCGCACCGCCCTCTCTCTTTCCGCTCGGCAGCCGACATGGTAGGTGAGCTTTCTGGCCTTTGGCTCGTGGGCCGGCCGGGGTGTCCGGTTCTGTTCCCGCCGCTCCGCGGCCGCTGGTTTTCGACGCGGGTCGAGCTTTCCTGGCAGCGCCTGGCCGACCGGGGAGCGGGATGGGAGGCCTGGGCGGGAGCCGGGGGCCGCGTGCTGGGCCCGGCGTGCGGGTCTCGGGCTTCGCGGACGGGGCGCGAGGCCGCCGTATTCCCAGCCCGTGCGAGTGCCAAGCGCCGGGCGCCGTGCTGCCTCTTCCCGCGGGCCTTGCCACCAAGCTGCTTTTTCCGTACAGCCATCCAGACTGAGGAAGACGCGGAAACTGCGCGGCCACGTGAGCCATGGCCACGGCCGCATCGGTGAGTTCGGCCTTGCCCTGCAGGTGGGCCGTGCGCGCGCCCTTCCCGGCGAGGCTTACAGCGCTTGTAGGATCGAGTCCAGACGCCGGGGCTCCCCCTCCCTGGCTCCTCCCGCGCACACGGCTTTAGGGAATTGTATATCAGAAGGGATAGCATTTGGGGTGCAGTATTGCGTGAGTTGACGTCAGTGGGTCCCGGGGCAGTGCTGTGATGAGAATCCCGAGTGCTGAAGCAGCAGCCAGGTTTGCGCGGGCTGTGGGGGACAGGCTGGCCCGGGCTGAGCCGCCCAGCTCCGTGTCTTTGCAGGAAAGCACCGGAAGCACCCGGGAGGCCGTGGGAACGCTGGCGGCATGCATCACCACAGGATCAACTTCGACAAATAGTGAGTGTGTGGGCCGGCAAGTGGAGGAGGGCGAGCCTGCCATCGAGGCTAGAGTCACGCTTGGGTACTGGCTGTTGCCTTAGTGTGCTAGAGTCCTCGGAGAGTAACTGCTGACCTTATTCACTGGCTGTGGGCCTCGTGGCACGGTCAGTCACCAGGTTAGTGACACATGCTTGTCTCCCGTGTGCTGCAGGATTGAGACCCGGCCCTCTGACCTTAGTGATGTGCTTCATGAAATAACGCTAGCCTGCTCTACTTGGTACCCCTTGAGGGACTTAGCAAATTTATAAACTGCATTCTAATACACCAGTTGATACTGCGGCGGGAGGGGAGAACAGGTGGTCAGCCTTAACCTCAGTGAGTTATGAAAGCAGTGGCTTTCTCCTCTCAGTCACCCAGGTTACTTTGGGAAAGTTGGTATGAGGCATTACCACTTGAAGCGGAACCAGAGCTTCTGCCCAACTGTCAACCTGGATAAGCTGTGGACACTGGTCAGTGAGCAGACCCGGGTGAACGCTGCCAAGAACAAGACAGGAGCAGCCCCCATCATCGACGTAGTGCGGTCGGTGAGTGCATGTTTGCTGTCCTCTGCAGTGCCTTGCCGTGCCCTCCCGCACAGACTACCTAACTTGCCTGGTTAGATGCCCACCAGATCACTCACCTTTTCATGGGATTACCATGGGCAATTATGGCCAGAATGGGGCTCCTGTAATCAGAAGGCTTTGGCTGCATTTGGAAGGATCTTCCGTGGAGAGCTGTGGTCCTAGGGAGGCAGAGACCAGATCCCCGTGCACAGCTGTTGCTGTCACTGCAGGAAAGGAGGGTTAGGTTGGCCGAGACTAGAGTCACATCCCGACACGTCTTGTCCTGGTGTGCTAGAGTTCTCGGAGAGAATCTGCTGGTCTTGATTCACTGGCGGGGGCCTGCAGTGTGCCCGTTAGTGCCCAGATCAGAGACAGGCCTGAAGGGGTGGGTTAGGGGACTCCGCCTTTCAGGACTTGGTGGGTGCCTGCTGGGGTGTGGGGTGTTCTCCAAACCTCCTTTGTTCTTCCAGGGCTACTACAAAGTTCTGGGAAAAGGAAAGCTCCCAAAGCTCCCAGTCATTGTCAAGGCCAAATTCTTCAGTAGAAGAGCTGAGGAGAAGATTAAGGGCGTTGGGGGAGCCTGTGTGCTGGTGGCTTGAGGCCACCGTTCATTAAAGTGCTTCTCTGCTGGTCTGATGCGCTTTCTTTCACTTCTCTGCCAGAAACCCACCTCGCCGTTCCCAGCAGCTCCATGTGTGGGGAAAGGAGAGCTCCTTTAGTGCGGGAAGAGGAGAGGTGTCTTGCTGGGTTACTCCCAGTGGTTATAGCAGCCATATCTATCCCAGGCTTAGGTTAAGCCAGAGCTCAATGCTAGTCACCGTCACCTTGCAGAGTGAGCCCTAGCGGGAAGCACCACAGAAAATCCTCGTGTTAGAACTTGATCTGGTCTGATTGGGTTTAGTATTTCCTATTTTAACGACCATGCTAATGTTCAGCCAGTGCATGGGATTGCAACGCGGGTTTGCGCCTTTTTTTTTAAAGGCTCTTAAGACTTGTAATTTAGAATACTGGGCGAAAAGTTAATGTGATACTTGATATTGCTGGGTGTTGTATGTGGGCTGGGGAGCTTGGTTGTGGGGTAAATTTGTCAAAGTTGTGTCTAAGAATAAGCAAAACTTCAAGGACCCAGGTGCATGATCTTGTCCGAGTCACCTGGGTTTGTGTACCATTACCGCTGCCAATAAACCTGGGCTTTCTAAGATATGAGAGGTGGGTTGGACTTGATAAGTGAGTTTAAAATAGTGACTGGAGTTAAGGGCCTGGCAAGACCAAGAAAGTGAAAATTAGCATAGAAAACGGTAGGGTTTGAGCACACCTGGTTCCTGGCTGGCTGGGAGTGGGCTTATTACAGATTGCAGCCGGATGCTACAAGAGCGCGGGCCATCCGTTCCCTGCGCAGGCATAGCTGAGCTAGCTGGTTAGTCCAGGTGGTGGTGGTTCCTCGGTGACACTGGGCTGAGCCCATCAGGTTCTGTCCACAGCGAGGGGCTTGTGCTTGTCTGGGCTGCTGGCAGGCCACGCTGCACAGCCGGCCTGTCCGCCCGAGAGGCCCCTTAGCTGAGGGTTCCGTAGCTGCAGGGGCGCGGCCTCCCGCCAGCAGGGTCCACACAGCACTGCGGCGTGCCCAGAGTCACTTCCTGGGGGCTCCGCGCTCTGGTTCCGGGGCACGGACCTTTCCCCACCGGAAGCGACGTCACTAGAAACCTCAACCACATCCGGGGGTGGGCGGGGCTTCCCGCGCTGTGCAGGCGCAGAGGCATTTCCGGGCCGGCCGGCCTCGGAGCTCTCCCCTTCGTAAAGGACAAGCATGGTGAGGATATAAACAATTCTTACTGTTTCCGTCATGTCCCTGGGTATCCTGAGCTAAAGAAGAAAACGCCGTGCCCGCCTGGGGGCATTCTGGAAGACCATGGGCCACCGGGATCTTTTAGTTCAACAGGAGCCCATATGGGATCCCGGTGCCTGCACAGCAAGGATTTAGCCACTGAGACGTTGCAGAGCCCTGTTATTTTATTTTCCATACAGTTCAAGTATCTTAGTATTTTAAAGATAGCAGTTAACCCCCTGCCCTCCGAAAAGGAATTTACACTTGTATGCTTTGGGAACTGATTTTTAGAGCCACATTAAAAAGAGGGTAAAGACAACTGGGAAACTTAAGTATTTCGCTTCGGAAGCAGGCAGCATTGTGGATTAGTCTTGGATGCTCTAAAAAAAAAAACTGGAAAAGTAGTAAAGATTTGCTTTTACTTGAAGAAATAGGGAGAGAGAATTTCCATTCACTGATTCACTCCCCCAAAATAAAATGGTTCCAAAGGCCAGAGCTGAGCTGATACAAAGCTTGGAGCCAGGAAGAGGTTCTTCTGGGTCTCTGGCATGGGTGCACGGTCCCAAGACTATCCCAGTGCTGGATCAGAAGCAGAGCTGCCGGTTTATAAACCAATGCCCATATGGCATGCTGGCATCACAGATGAAGATGAATCCATGGTGCCCCTGTGCCAGACCAATTTTATTTTTTTATTGGAAAGGCAGATATACAGAGAAAAGGAGAGACAGATCGAAAGCTCTTTAGTTTCCTGGTTCACTCCCCAAGTGGCTGCAATGACGAGCTGAGATGATCCAAGGCCAGGAGTCAGGAGCTTCTTCTGGGTCGGTCTCCAGCCCAGGTGCAGGGTCCCAAGCCTCTGTGCTGTTCTAGACTGCTTTCCAAGGCTACAGGCAGAGAGCTAGATGGGAAGTGGAGCAGTCGGTATATGAGCTAGCACCCATATGGGATCCCAGCAGTTGGAAGGTGAGGGTTTGCCACTAGCCTATCACACCAGACCCCTTCCAGTTCTTTCTAATGTGCCCAGAGGATGCAGTAGAGGACAGCCCCAACACTGCAGCCCTTGCCACTCACGTGGGAGACGTGGCTTGGAGTTCCAGGCTCCTGACTTCAGCCTGGCCCAGACCTGGCTGATGAAGGCATCTGCCTGTTAGTCAACACTGCCATTCAGAGAAAAGCCCAACCCAGGATGAGTTAACAGTGATGAGTTCTCGAGATAGCTACACTCAGTTCTAAATTTTCTAGTTAAAATCTTCCTTCTCCAACTTGGAAACTGAAATGCATATGGCCGCAATCCCTGCCCTCCTATTGCTGACAAACACTCAAGGCCAGCAATGCAGGAGGCTCTTCCAGAGGAGATGACTTTGTCTTCCAAGAGGGCCGACATTCTCCTTCGTTCTATGAGGGAGGTTGAGGACTGTACTGGCTCCAGCATGGATAGAGGAAAGCAAGCAGCCCAGGATGAAATGCCTCTTCCACGGGCAAGAGTGGAAAGATAAGCAACCTTCACCATTCAAATCCTGCCTGACCCACTGCCAGGGAGGAGTGTTTAGCTTCACGCCTTACCTCTAGGAGGTTTTAAGTTCTCTGTTCTACTCAAGACCTTAAAACCTTTACTTCCCCCTGCTGCTTCTTTCTTCCATGGAATGTGGATGAACATTCTGCATGTAAATGTAGAGTTCCAATGAAAAACACTATCCATACAGTGACATGGCAGTGGGGTCAGGGCTCTGCCTTAGGTTGGCACTAGCTGGGCTTCACTGTACCCAACTCAGCATGCCTACTGGTAAAGTTCAGACAGAAAACAATGCTGACATTCACCCAATAATGGAGGCAGAGGGAAAAGAGCATTTTTTTCCATTGTTAGAAATACTTAACTAGTCTGCACAGCTGGCTACCAGAGGGAAGCAAAGCTGAACAGTGATTAGTATTTCTAACTCTAATACCAGTCATGCAAATCAACCCAGAGAACTCGATTTCAGGGGAGGCCGGCGAACCACATTGAAGCCAGACCCTGACTGAAGTATGGAGTTACCCGCATGGTGGGGACTCCCTTGATTGGCCTTTCTCAGGGCCACTTCCTGGAGAGGGAACTCCATAGATAATAAAGCCAAAGGACACGGGGGACTCTGGGCCCCAACAACTGTACACTGTTTATTGAGAACAGCTGTAGAAGGTGGGAGAGAGGGGGGATGCCCTGTACCGCATCATGGCCACTGCTGACTGGGAGCTGGGCCCACAGAGCCTACAGCACTAGCAGAGCTGTAGGGTGGGCTTCTGGGGACTCACTGACCATCTCAGAAAGGCCCAGGAGCCTTGGTGCTATGCTGCAAATGTGGATTGATTGGCTTTTGACTTTTAAAACAGAGGGGGTGGGGAGGGGGCCACTCAGGACAAAAATAGAAACTCTAATAAGACTTTAAAAAAAAATCTTGCTGTACATCACAAGATAGCACCTGCTCTCAGGGACCCAAGACTGGCAGCAGGGGTCGCAGGCAGGCGGGGGGCAGGCCAAGGCTCCCGGAAGGTCAGTGGTTTGGCTGAGACAGTCAGCTGCACAGAACTGGCCAGTTACCAGCACCCAATGAAACTTCATTCGTGCTCAGGCAGGGCCGGAAAGCACCCAGCCCCTTGGGAATATACAAATATTTACCAGACTCTTTTGCTTGTTATAAAACAGTTAAGAAAGCTTACAGCAGATTATTTACAAACAGTATCCTGGGATAATAGTGGAGGCAGAGGTGGGCTGGCCTGGAAGGGGCAGTCCCAAGGGTCCCCATTTGGGCCCCCTCCCCTGGCTCTAGGCTCTGCAAGGCACTGGAGTCCATGACCTGGGACACGAGTTTTAATTCTTCTTGTGGAGGAATTTCATTTTGTTGCCTGTGGGCCAGAGAGGGCAAAAGTGAGAAGGCTTCAAATGCCATGGCTTCCAACCTCCCAACCCTCTCCTTCCTGCTACTTTACCATCTTGGCAGGAGCCTATGGATTAGAAAGACTGAGCACAGCTGTGGCAGATGTGATCCAGGGGAGTGAAAACAAAGTAGGATGCTAGGACCTGTCACTATATGCTTCAGGTAAGCCACTTAACCTGTGTGGCCTCAGTTTCCCTTGAAGACACACTATGATCCAGTGATGTAGCTGGCTGAGCTCCAGGAACTTCACAGGAAGTGCCCTCAACCCCTTGGACTTGTGTGGACCCCTGTGGTCCAGAGGACAGTTCAGGGGCTCCAACAGCTCTCACACTCCCAGGAGAGGAATGCAGTCACAGGGAGCTGAGCTTTGTGAGAATCTCCACTAAATGCTGCCAGAGCACTGGCAGGGAACAGTGTCTTCACCAAGGTCTCTCCTGTTCTAGCTGCAGCCCCATTACAGACACCTGTTGGTACTGCCTGAGGGCAGTCGGGGATATAGGTCCCCTTGCCAGGTATTCCGTCTGTCACAGGGTTACTCACCCAAACCTCGGAGAAACTTATTCATCCCACTCTGCTCAGTGTCTGGGAGTTCTTCTAAGTACTGCTCCACTCGCTGTTCAAAGAGACCTGGGAATCAGGAGGAAGACAAGCAGAACTGTCACTGGGGAAAGGAGGGGGATCCTGGAGCATGGATGCCGAAGGAGAAGACATCAGACACTTGGGGTTTTCATTTACTGGCAGCATCATATCAAAATTTAGGCCAGTGTATCCAAATGATACCCAGCGGCATCTCACATTCACTCTACACAGCAGGAAGTCCCAGTGCGCAGTCCTGAACCGCAGTGTGGTGGTGATGCCACTTGCTTCTGAGCAGCCCCAACTAGAAAACCTGAGCTTCTTTAGAGCACTTTTTAAATAAACAAAACCAAAACCTTTATTTCCAAGGCAGAGAGTTGTGGAAAGGCAGAGTCTCCCATTCACAGTACAATCTCTAAAGGCCCACCAGCCTGGGTAAGGCCAAAGGCAGGAACCAGGAACTCAATCCATGTCTCCCACATAGACGCAAGGACCCACGGACTTGAGCCATCACTCACTGGCTTGCAGCCTATGCATCAGCACGGAGTGCAACCAGATGTGGAGCTGCGACTTAAACCCAAGCACTCCAATACAGGATGTGGCTGAAGCAAGTGGCATCTTAACAACCATGCCTCCAGGAGACTCATACCGTGTGGTTCCAGTTATATTTGTTGCCCTAAATGTTTAGTATTAGTGGACAGGAAAGACAACCCTGACACTCCAAAACTCTAGAATGAAACTGATGAAACAGCAAGACAACATAATCAAGTGTGCCTTGAATAGGGATGGCCACCAAAGTAGGACTTCAAGCCTGGTCCTCCCTGAGGCACTGCCCAAGTCCTGGGTTCTCAGAATCCCACGCCCCACCAACTGCTCAGCTGGTCTCTTAAGAATGAGAAGGGCATTTGGGGAGGAGATGGGCACTGATGGCACACTGATCTTGGTTGGGCAGGACTTATTCTGTGGAGACATTCACTGGGACTAAAGAAGGAAAAACAGATTCCTTGGAAGTTTTTCTAAGCAGAGAAAGCGTGGTGCTCGTTGCCACCCTCCAGCTTCCATCACAGGGCTTACTCATTCAATCCAGGGAAGGCCTGTAGCTGTCCACCCAAGCTCTCCCAGCCTTACCCTTTGCACGACACTTCCTCAGCTCCCTGTCTTGGATGAAGCCAGCAAACATCTGTGATTCCATAAAAACCTCAAGGAAACGGCGGATGCTTTTGGAGGCCACAGACTTGCGGAAGGCCTCGCGCTGGAAGGCCCGCTCCCCCTTCTCACTCTGCGTCAGAAAGAGGGAGTAGTGTCCGACAGTCTCCACGAAGAACCGGATGAACACCTCCGACACCAGCCCGTTGAGGGTATTACATTCTAGAAAGGGAAAGAGTGGCTCTTGGGTGCAGCTCGGCAGCCTGCAAGGCACTCCCAACCCCAACAGGCACAGTTTCCCTCTCCCCAAGAACACTTGGCGGCCAGCACCGCTGCTCTGCTTTGCACATGGGAATTGGCAAATAATCCTTGCTGGGTGAACGAAAGGGAAATCAGAGACCAGAACACCACTTTTCCCACTGGCCTGAAGTGACTGTTCTGCCTTCCCAGGACAAGGAGGTTCCATTTATCAGGCTTGAGATGGGGCCTGACAGAGAGGAATCGTTTGTTTCTTGTCAGCAACAAAGGTCGTAAGTGGTTGCTACCTTTTTGGGCTGTCTTGCCCAAATCTCCTGGAGTAGAGAAGATGCTAAAGCGGGGTCCCAAACCTGGGCCCTCGTAAGCTTGAAAGGGTAAGGTGCACAAGAGCATCGTACCAGCCCCCATGAGGGCCAGACTGAGAGCAGAAGGCATCTGGGACCAGAGCCGACTGCACCCAGGCTGGCCTCCCTCACCGTCGTCGGAGTCGCTGTCCGAGTCCTGGGAGATGAGTTCATTCTTCCTCTCCAGAGCCTGCTCCAATGCCGCCTGGAGCTTCCTAGGTAACAACGTGTCCTCATCGTCCATCTGCAGTAGGAGTGACAGCTGTCACAGTGGGCAGTGATGAGCAGACATCTGCTGGGTGCGAATACCTTAAATACATAATCTCATGTACTCCACCCAATAGTTCTGACACAACCGTCAGCTTCATTTTAAGACGAGAAACTAAGCACAGGTTAAGAAACTTGTCCAAAGTTATTCAGATAAAAAACAGCGGACAGTGGCCTTCACCACCCACTCTCACCAGGACCAGCCTGGGTTCCTATTCCCACAATCCTCATGAAGTCGCCATGATTCTGGCCCCTTCAGCCGCTTCTGCTCGGGGCAGAGAGGCTGAGTTATAGCCTGAGTCTCCGGGGGAAGCTTAGGCTGTCTCTATGTTCTGGGTTAGGGCCTTGCACCCGCAGACCTTGGCTGCATCAGCGGTGTGGAAGCAGAGTCCATTCCCAGAGGGGCTCGTGTTGAGCTGCGCTCCTCTGTGGAGAGCCAGGAGGATTTCCATGACTAGCCACAGCTCAGTGGTGAACAGCAGAGATTGTAGGCTTTTGTAGCATGTCAGCATGCCGCAGTAGTTCACCCCATCTTTCAGCAAGGGTTCCCAGCATTTGTTATCACCATTACTGTTGTAGGCAAGGGCTCTGGCTCAGGGAAATCCAGAGGCCTATCCAGGACCACATGGCTCAGAGCGGGCAGAGCCCAGAGGTCAGGTCTGGACATCCAGGCTGTGCTCCTGTACTGACTTCTGGAAGCTGACTAGGCATGATCCTCCTGAAGTGAAGGACTAGAGTATGGAGTCCAGAGCTCAACAAAGGTAATTGTGGCTGAGTGTTCTGCGAAGGAGGTGTGGAATGCTGGGAGCTTGTATCCCAGAAGCACCCACCCTAGTGCAGGCGTGCCACGCTTACCTGGCGGAGGAATCTGTCTGATCCCAGATTCACCATCAGTGCCTGAGGAGAAAAGGAGTCATTAGTGACAAGGCTCAGGATTTGAGTCCTTCAGCATCCTCTGCCAGGCCTCCACACTCCCCGCAGCCCTAGGGCCACAGAACAGGGTGAGTGGCACTGGAGGAAAGGACTTGCAGGAGGAAGAGAGGACCCCAGGCCACAGATAAGATCCCAGGAGCCTCTCCACCTTCTCCCACCTCCCTTCCTTCCCAGGGATTTTGATTTCCCCCTTCCCCTCCTTCCCCCTTTCTCCCAAGCTAGGTCCCCAGGCAGTCTACCTCCTCCACAGGCAATTCCTTCAGTTTAGGCAGGGAGCTGGAGAGCAGGCCAACCAGGAAGGGGGTGGGGCAGCAGACGATGTCAATCATGGAAGCCGGGAGAACAGGAATGAAGGTGTGTTGCCAGGAGAAGGGGTAGAGCAAGGCCACCACGGCGTGGGAGCAGCTGGACAGGGTACTGCCAAAGGACAGACACAGACCCCTGAGCCCGGGCCCAGCAGCTCTGGGGAAGTGTTGTCCGAGCTCGCCAAGGGCTCAGGACATCTGATATTAAACCCTCCAGCACAACAAAAATGCTTATGGGGCTTGGGTATCCAGGTGGACCCCCTGGGCCAGTGAAGCCCCCAGCTGCTGTTGCTCAAGGCCACAAGGACAACAGGACCTTCCTGTGGGGGATCCTCACTTACAAACATGAAGGAAGGCCTCAGCACTTGCGTACACACAAAATCACACACTTAAGCTCAGAGCATGGCCTCAGCAGGTGTGTAAGGACCAGCTCAGGGAGAACAGAAGGGGAGACAGGCAGGAGCTGACCATAGATTCCCAGAGGTGTCACTGCATCCATTCTACAGTGCACAGCTGGGGTGACACCCAGTGCCTGTCTAGTCGTCCATAGCAGAGTGCAGTGTTACTGTGGCTCTTGCTTCACTGGACACAGCATTGGAAGTGAGAAAGGAGTGCAGAGAAATCACACGGGGAGGTGGTCGGCACCCTCCTGGCCAGGCTGGGACACCTTCTATCTGTCCTCTCAAAGTAACTGCAGGTTGGGGGAGGGAAGTAAAGGGAAAGGTCAGCCTTCTTTGGGCCTGGCCGCCAAACAGAATGACTGAGGGGACAAAGGGAGAACAATCCCAACGGCGCCAGCTGGGATGGACAGAAGTGAACATGTGTCCCCATGTGTGCTGAGGGGCAGAGCAGATTCTAGGGGATGCTGGAGACCTGCCTGGCTGGACTCCATGTGTTGGGGCTGAGTCAGAGGCTCTCTCTCAGGGATGACATCACAGATAGGAACACAGAGGCCTCAAGCCCAGCTCACTTTCTGGGCTCATTTCTCTGCCACAAGCAAGCGTAGACCCCACAATCACCCATCAAAGTGCCAGGTGTTCTAGCAGGGACTTGAGCATATGACAAAACACGGATCCCTTCTGAGACAGAATAAACTTCCTTTTCTCAAAGAATTTCTGGAATGTCCAAGTATTTGTCAGTGCTCACCTGGCTTTCCTGCCAACTCAGACATCTAACATGGTGCTGGGCCTGGACATGGGTGCCCTGGCCTGGATGGTCCCTCCCCTGGGGACAGCAGCTCCTCATACCCTCAAGGACACATGGCTTGCAAAAGGCTTTGCCAGGGTGGGGACACATTGTTTTCCATGACCCCCGGCCTTGGGAGACCCACCACTATACGCAGAACAAGGTCCAGGGGAACTGAGGACATGAAAACCTCAGACACAAGCAACACAACCTGAGCTGGCTGGACCTATCCCAGTCCAGTTCCATGCGCCATCTCTGGGGCTGCCTGTCCCTCCCCTGTCCTGACACAGGCCAGCCTCAGGTAGGAGAGTCAGTGAAGACCAAGCCTGGCACAGCTTTAGGTCTGAGCAGGCCAAGAACAGCATCCTGGGGTGTTTTCCTCCTAGAATGGCCCTGGAATGTGCTCAGAGGCAGCTATGGCCACAGCAAACAATGGCTGCATTCACAATCCTCCAGGAGCTGAGCTAGGGGGTTGGGGCATAGAGGAGGCACAACCCTGGGCCAGCAGGGTGGGATCCTTCAGGAGAAGAAACCCCAGGGACAGGTCCTGCTAGAGGCCCCTGAGGTCTGGGCAGCCGGGGCCCACTGTGGGCACCAGATACTGTTAGTTCCCGCTGCCATGCGGCCCCTACAAAAGGGGCCCAGGGAAACATCTAGAATAGTGAGATACAGAGGCACTGAGGTTGTGATAGGAACAAGTAAGGGGCAGCTTCATTTCTAAACCAGGGCCTCTCTGGAAAAGCCAGCAGCTCTGGTTTTACTCCTCCATCCCTAGGCTCCTGCCCCAGGGCCCTACTAGAGCACCCCCATACTGGAAATTGATCCAGGAAGAGAATTTTCCTTTAGTTCCCTCTTCTCTGCAGATGACATGGCATGGCACAGATCAGGAACCTTTGCTGTTGTCTAAATGACTGAATTAATTCCCCCAATCACCAATCTGGAAAAGCCACCATCTGTGATGGATTCTTGGACATCAGGGTCCCGTCTCTCCTTGCCTATTCCCCTCTTCACACCCCTTACATTCTTCTGTAAGTCTTCAACTGCCTAGGATAGCTTTCACCTCTTCCCTCCTTCACACCTCCCCCCCTGAAATCATAAACACAGATGCTCAGGTCCAGTTTTGGCCATCTGTCCAACTCTCTCCTTACTGCTCCCACGCCGACCACTCTGGAGATCATCCTCCAAGTTTTGTGGCCAACTGCCTTGCAGCTGCACCCTCAACACCCCTCCTCCTCTACAACTCTCAGAGTGCTCAGTTCTGACTCATTCCCATCAGCTGCCTGCTCCAGGCCACACCTCTTTCGGGCTCTCTCGCTGGCTGCTTCGGTGCCTCCCAAAGCAGCTCTTCTGGAACTCTGTTGCTCCTTCCCAACTCAGCGGCCCACCACGATGCCCCTCGCCTTGCCTCCCCCTCCAGTGAAAACACAGCCCTCAGCCACAAACTTCACTTGCTGACCTTTCTCTAAGGCTGCCTGCACCTGCGTGCTTGGCCCCCGCAAGGACAGACGTGGCTCTCCCCTTCCTTCAGGCTAAGTCCTCCACTGGGTTCTCATTCCTGCCATTGCGTGTGTCTCAGCCATCCTCTCTGCCCCAGTGTGCCAACCTTCCCCTCTTCATACAGGCTTTATCTTACCACACATGTGCAAGCGCACCCCCACCCCACACACCAATTCTACTTCATATGTGGCACACAGTGGGGTTTGTGGAATTAACTGATCTGAGGGTGTATGATCCGATCTCCCCCTTCTCCCTTGCCCTGCTGGGCCCCACCTGAGTTTATCTGCCACAAAAATGACCCGGCGCTCCAGCAGCAGTGAGGCGAAGATCCGGATGAGCTGGCGCACACTGAGGCAGGTAAAAAGGCACTCAAAGTCCACATGCTCGAGTCGTGAGTCCATGGGCCGCCGTAGCTCCAACACCTGCAGGAGAGGCACGGGGAAAGTGGGGCCCCAGGAAAAGTACCCAGAGGTTATATTCCCCTCCATCCCTCAGGAAAAGGACCTCTGCTCTGCCATACTGTGCAATGTGAGCCAGGCTCTGTCTCCCAGACCACAGCTCTGTTTCACACTAGCCAACCACCACTATGGGGGTGAGAGAGCTACCTGTGACAGTTGGGGAGGCTCTGTGAAGAAGGGGAGGAGAACCATGAAAAGGAGGAGGAGCCACACAGCCTGCCTTATCTGTAGGGTCCTGCCGGTCCTCTTGTCCATCTTCCCAGCCTGACCAGACCCCACCGGAAGACCAACACCTCTGTTCTCAGCCATCTCTGGATGGGCAGTGTTGCTTGTCCTTGTTGCCATGTCCCCTCCCTTTCCTGCTAGAAAGTTTCCTTCCAGAAGTTATGTTTACTTGTCATCCTGGTCCTTATCACCATCACCCCGTCCTGTATCAGGGACAAAGACAACATGAGGAAAGGGCTGGCCATTCCTTGGTCCTGCCAGGAAGCAGGACTGACTTCATCGTAGAGCCAGGCCTAGCTCTCTTCCCTGCAATGGCCATTCCCAAGGTCAGTGCTATGGCTCTAGCAGCCACTTCTCTGGGCACAGCTGTGAGGATGGAGAATGACAACCGCCAGCCACAGCAGGGAGAACATGAACTGCACCCTCCCTAGCCTCATTCCTGGCCCTGCAGCCTTTGAGAACTGGAGTGGGAAGCCAATGCTCTCTTATAGTTCTATCAGAGTTAACTCTCTTAAGAGGCTTCTACCCCACATAGCCTTCATTTTTCTCAGGATCTCTGAAGAGATTCTGACTGCCAACCCACCAGAGATCCCTCCAGTCCCCAGATCGCTCTGTGACTTCCCAGGCTGCCTTTCCTGCAGGACAGGGAATGGCTAGGAGGCTCAGTGACTGGCAGTTCTGGCTACGCCCCTGCTGCAGTGGACATGGAGGATGGAATGCCGTTGACAGTCATGTCAGAGGCTTCTGCAACCCTAACAGGAAGCCCACCGACCCTGTCTCCTAAAAGCCCTGTTTGTACAGTTCAACAAGCTCTGTCTTCCAGCACCCAGCCTTACACTGCCACTACCCTTTGTGTCTGGCTACCCAGTGACAGAGAGCTTCTCCTTCCCTGACCCTGCAGGAGACCACAGCCCAGCAGGCTCAAGGAGCCTCCACAGCACAGCCTTAAGATGGACAGGACAAAGATATGGTGAAGATCCACACAGGAGCTGGGAGGTGTTGGGGAGGACAACAATCAGGTGGGGTCAGGTAAGCACTGTGGTGCACAGGATGCTGGACTTGGAGTACCCAAAGAGAGGAGCAGACAGTGCCTTCTGGGCAAATGGGGGCTCAGGGAGTGTTAGAGTGATGAGAAGTGAGTATGGTGAGGATGCCAGGGCCAGATCCCAATGGACCCCCAGGATTCCTATGGGGTCTCAGGATGGGACAGTTGTCCAATCCCCATAGCAAATGATGAAGGGGAGAAGCAGGTAAAAAACAAAACCAAAAAACATCCCAGGTGGGTATTTACCCCTGTCAAACAGCCCAGTATGCTTCTCTAGATAGTCCCCTTGCCCACTCTGCAACAACAAATTCATCCCTTCTTCCCCCTCCCAGGATCCAAGGCTGGCCTCTGACTCTCACAGGTTGATTTTGTTGTTCTAACTTGAGAACACCAAAAGCCGCTAGTTGATGGCCAGCACCCCTTCCTGTTCTTGGCCAACAACCAGTGTCTGCATGCAGCCTGCCCTGTGCTTTCTCAGTGCAGTGTGGTTACCCTCTCTCTCTGCTGGAGCCATGCCTACCAGCCCTCACAAACACTCCCCGGCTCCACCATGGCTTTCACCTGGTGCCCCTTCCCAGTTTCTCTTCAAAAGTCTTGGCAAGATTCTCAATTCACCCCACATGGGCCCCACCACTCCTGAGGAGGTACCTGCTGCCATGGCTTCCGAGTATGCCCCTCACCCTGAATGTGTTGCTATGTCATCTACTTGCTGGGTTCCTTGGGCTGGAGAGTACTCTGCTCTGGGCTCTCTTGCCTTCCTTAGCTACACTTCTCTCTACTAAATGCCTTCTCGTAGGCATCTCATGGCTATCGCCAACCTAACATGCACCTAACTGAACTCTTCCTCTTTATCATTTGCTTCTGCTTTTGGAGCTCCCATCTTTGGACATAGTTCCATCCTACCCTGTGTGGTTCATGCCACAGAACTGGGAGTCAACCTTACAAGCACTGTTAATAGTCACTCCCCACTTCCAAGCACATGCAAAGTTTTGTTGCTCCTACTGCTAAACTACATCTCCACTTCATCCACTTCATTTCTCCTGCTACATTTCAGTCCAAGCCACTGTCATCGTTTGCCTTTACTACAGCAACAGTATCTGAGCTGGTCTCTCTGTACTCATTCCAAGCCATTATTTTTAGAGCAGTCAACAGCAAGTTTAAAAACATGAATCAGATCTTATCTTAACAGTGCTGCGATAACATCTAAAGTCCTGATCTTGGACCTGCAGGAACAGGGAACCTGGTGAGGGCTTGGTTCTTGCCTACCTCACCGCCATGCTCCACACGCTTTCAGCCATCTGGGCCTTTCCTTAGTTGCTTTACCACTCTCCCAGCCTTTGCCTTTGCTGCTTCCTCCACTTGGGATCACCCACACTCTCACACCTTCCTCCTTCAGTCTCCCTCCTCCCACTCTCCTTCACTATCTGCTATTCAATCAACAGGATGTCTTCTCCCCAGGCACTCCCTGTCACTTTCTTCGGGGAGGCCTCCCAAGACCTCTAACCTAAAGCAGGTCTCTCATTACATACTTTCAGTAGGCTGTGTTCCCTCATTTACCTCTTAACACATTACAGATTATGGAGAGAGAGAGAGAGAGAGAGAAAGAGAGAGATGTATTCAATACTAGCATGCCCCTCTAGCCTAGCATCTGGCCTGCAGGCCATATAAGGCCCATGAAGTTGTATGGTCTGGCCCTGCCAAGGCTATCCCAGGTGGGACCTGAAATTCAATAAACCCATAGCAGTCTAATTTTTATGCTGACAACTTTGTAGGCCCCACAGATGACATCATAAGCCTCCAAGTGGCCCTTGGCAGAAAAACAAAACATCCCCCACCCTCATCCTACACTACAAACTCCACAAGGAGAGAGTGGTGTTCCCTCTCTAACTTTCTGACTCTGCCCCAATGTCTGGAACATCCTCTGGCTGTGAGAAGAGCACAGACTCAGAAGTATTTCCTGAGTCAGCAGAAGAAAAGCAGGTGGAATGCAGCTCAGCCCTAATGAGTCAGGAAAGCCCCTCAGAAGAGCAAGAGTTGGCAACGCTTCCACCCTCTGTGGATTAGGTATCAGACAAAGGGGCAATGGAGTGGTGTGTGCTGTGTCACCTCCCAATTACTGCAACCTGGATTGTCCCGGCCCTGCAGTCCAAGCGAAGAGGCAGCACGAATTCCCACCTCATTGCCAGCCCCTGGCAGGAACGTCTTCACCTTGATGGTCTTGCCTGGAGCCGGGAAGGGCGATTCCATGAGACTCCGCATGAAGGGATAGACCAAGGCAGCAGAGATCCCACGCCGGCGTTCCACCTCATCCAGCACCTGTGCCCACAAAAGGAGGCGTGTCAGGAGGCTGGCTCTCCTCACCTCCTGGGCAGGCAAGAGGGGAGCCTGGCATCTGGCCAGATGCTGGGAGACAAGAGGACTAGTTGGCCATGGTTGTCACACCTGAGCAGCGCCCAGCTCTGTTCCCAGGCTGGCCTCATTTCAGTCCCCAAAGGCAGAGAGCAGTCAGGTAGAGGAAATACCATCTGAAAGTCAGCTCCCACACTCCCAGGGGCACTCCTGGCTTCCCCCAGGGACTCTGGGGTTTGTCCATTACCAGACTGGGTCGTGACATGAACAGGCACTTGCCAACACAGGAGCTAGGGAAATGCCAGCCAGCCAGGTAGGGAGCCAGGCTTCGGCATCAGCAGGGAAACAGAGTTTACTTATGTTGGCTCTTGTGTCCTCTTTCTCCTGCCTGCTCTCACACACAGGTGGTTTTTTCATCTAAGCTGCCTCTACAAACTCCTGTGAAAGCTGTCAGCTGATTGGGGTGGGGGAGCAGGAGGGAACTGAGCCAGAGCCTCTTACCTTGGAAAACAAGCCAAAGCAGCCCAGGCGGCTGATGACACAGTACACCTCTGGCAACCGAGGCCCTTTCCCACTTGGCTGGACCGGGATGGGACAAGAAGAGACAGACAGAGAATGAATCATTACATGGCTCCTTCTCCTTGGGAACTGAGGACTAAGGACCACCCTTCTAGTGGAGGAAGACACCAGGCCTCTTCTAAACTCTACCCCTACCCCCCAAACCCTTGCCAAAGGACAGGCGCAGGCTTCAGCCCCCCAGGTGCCCTGACTCCTGCGAAGCTCTGTGCAGGCGCCCTGATCCTCCCAGGAGAGGGCTGGTGAAGGATGGAGCAGTTTGACAAAAGCCACGGAGTTATTTGTGCTAAGGCTGGGGCCTCAGCAGATGTGACACTGATGAGGATTTGTGTACATTCTTTGGAGGAGGCAGTGTGGCCTTAGGCCCCCACAGGGGACAGTCTAGAAAACATCCCTTTTCTTGGTTGCTTTTTCTGTCCTCCTTTCTTTGACCCACCTTCACTCTAAGAGGACAAACGGAAAACAGAAAAGGGCACACAACTATTGTTCTTTGAAGGTTTACTACATTATGAGTCCTAGGGTTTGGCTTCAGACAAAAACAAATCAACCAAATAACTTAAGAAGACACATTGTTACTCCCCCCGTCTTCCAGCTGAGGCAACTGAGTTTAAAAGAGTCTAGGCTGTTGTCTGAGGTGTCAAGTATCTCTCTGGAAGTTGTGGTCAAGGAGGCCAGGGTCTGCTTTGGCCTCCAAAGCTGTCCTCCAAAGCAAGCTGCACTCTGACAAGAAGGAAGTGCAAGGAGACCCAAAACACAGGACAGAGGAATGCTACAGTATAGAGAGGAACAATGGGGAAAAAAAAAAGAAAAGGTAGGTAGTTTGGAGGAGTTGTATGCATGGGGCTGTCCTGGCCTCAAGCCCCCAGAAGCAGTTTGGGTAAGTCTCTTCTCCAGGAAGGGGCTGGCAGGGCCCAGTGGGGAGGGAACAGACCAGCAGGTGCTGGCCCCTTGTGCAGGCTGCTAAGCAAATGCAGATGCAGCTATTTCAGTCTCTAAACCTGCTGGCCACAAGTCCCAGATCTAAACAGAAGGCAGGATCTGTTTTTGTCCATATTTGGCCTGAAACACACTCCTCTCTCTTTCCTTCTCCCCCGCCTCTCCTAAAGCCCCAAGTGATTAAATCAAGTATGTGGGATTTGGGTTAGAATCATTGTGTCCAATCTGCAGGAATGCCGAGCTAGTGCCAGCCCCCATGGCAGGGACCCAGCCCAGGCCTTCTCTGACAGCGCCAGGACAAACACGCTCCTCCCTGGGGGCGGCCGGCCTGCTGCAAAGCAGCAGCTCTCCCCCATGGGGGCTTGGCCAAGGCAGCGCCTGGAATGCTCCCCCATAGGCCCAAGGGACATGGAGCATGCTGGCCTCTGCTTTGCTCCCCATCTGGCACCTGGGACTGCTCTGCATTTCCTTGTCTTCATGCACTGGGCATCATCCTTTGCCCCCAGACCACTGTCTATATGACCGGTAATCAAGAACTTGAGGTCAATTCTGACTCTGTCTTATGCTGGCTGTGTGACCTTGAGCAAGTCACTGCACCTCTGACTCCCACTTTCATTATCAAGGATAATGAAACCCATTGGAATTATTGTGAGAATAACAGAAAAGACACGCTTGAGTATCTTTCTGGGAACATGACAGGGTCTTAACAAAAGTTTACTTCTTCAACCCTTTCCCTCTAGGTTCAAAATCCAGCCTCCTCTACTAGCCCATCTCACGTTCCCTGCAGGTGGGCTCTTTACACACCTTCATCATAGAACCTGACCCTTAGCAGGTGTAAGTGTGTTTCTGATGAATCAGTGCCTTGGAATTCTTCCTTTAGGCTTCCTGCTGTACAGTACACCTGTCTAGGATTCTCCTCATCTGTCCCTAGACTGGTGTCTGCTGAGGGCTTCTTGCACGGAGACCTGGAAGGCCTAGACCGCTGGTCGCCCAAACAAGGAGCCCCAGAGGAGTGTGCAACAACAGCCCAGATCTGGGCCAGGTCCTTTCTGGCACTCAGGACTCTACCTCAATCTATTTTTCAGGGAAAGCAGATGAAAAAGGACTTCTCTCCTTACAAAATAGCTTGTATTCAAAACCAAATCCCTTTCTCATAAGGTCAGGCTGTCTCTCCCAGAGAAGGCATTTGTCCCTGTCTGACCTCTAGCCTGGTGAGGCCAAGGATAGGACCCCTCCTTAGACCAGACTGGCCTGCTATGGGGGTGAAAAAGATCGTCCTCCACCAAATCTGATGCATGAATATGGACTACTGGGGTGGCAGGACCCTGAAACCACAGCTCAGGGTTCCAAGACAGCTGAATGAAAAGGAAAAGCACAGAAAGGCTAAAAAAGCTTTGACAGCATCATAGAAGTGGGTCCACTCTCTCTTCCTATTGGAGATGCTCTTGCATCCTGGGGCCCAGCTAAAGGGTGGCCTCACAACGCTGGACTTCACACAAGCTGAAACGCCAAAAGGTGCATTTATGCACATGCACATGTACAAGTGCGTGTACACACACACACACACACACACACACACACTTCCTGGCCCAGCCCTCAAGGACCCAATGGGCCTACTCACCAGTAAGCGTCTGCAGTAGCCAAAGCGCCTGCTGCCATCTTCTCCGGTTAGCATGAAAGAAAATGTCTCACTGGAACAGGGAGAAGCCTGGAATCAGGGAGGTCTCAGGGGACCCAGGAAACAGTCCCAAGAACAGAAACTGTAGCCTCAGGGGTGGGAAGAAGGACCAAGCTGCTGCAGGCCCCACGTGGCTGCCCTGTACTGTGCAGGCAGGAAGGCTATGTACCCCTTTCCACCCTCCAGTAAGGCCAGGCTGAACCTCACCTGCTATACTCGGACACGGGGAGCCAGTCCTTGGCATCAGGGAAGCAAAACTGTGGAATGGCTTTGAGCCTTTCCTCTGCCTCCCGCATCTGCTTGGTGGGTCGGTCCAGCTGCAGGGAAGAGGGAGATCGGGAACAAATGACCAAAAGACCACCTGGAACTTCAGGGGAGGGTGCACTGGTTGGGAAGCCTGTCTTCCCAGGAGCTCTAGAGCAGCCCACTGATGGGCATGCTTCTCGGCCAACCTGCCCACATCTGCTTCTCACACAGGCCTTGTACCTGACAATGTGCTGTTTGCTGGGACTGTCAGCTGCGAACAAAACAGACAAGATCCCTTGCCCTGCTCCTTCTGGTCAGGGGTGAGGGACAGCAGCAATAGCATTTCAGAAGTGCATGAGGGCAAGGAGCACAGTAATGGGGCAGAGGGGGCAGGGCAGGGCAGGGGGTGCATGCATTTGGGTGCCTGGGAGGACCTGACGCAAGGGCAAAGAGGGAGACAAGGAGGCCAGGCCGCTGGTAGGTGACAGACAAGGTCGGTGGGTAAGAGGCAGTGACTGCTGCTGGCTATTGGCTTTCTTTGAGGGGTGACAGAGAAGTTGTGGGACTGACTGTGGTATGAATACACTAAGAATCACCGAGTTTTACACTTCCAGTGAGCAACCTGTACAGTGTGTGAATTCTATCTCAATGAAGTGGCTAAAGTGGGAAAAGGAGCTGGGGTCCTCCCTCTGGACCCTGAAGTCCTTGCAAATAACTTGCTCTTCATGGGAAGCACAGAGATGGGGCGGGGTTGGGGTGGGGGTCTCTCAGCCCTGCACCTCAGAGTAAGCACCGGCCCACACCCACCTACTGCTCCTCTGCTCCCCTGAGGCCCAGCCCGCCCTCCAGTTGGGAGGGGGCTAGTTCAGGGCTGCAGCTGAATGAGCAGCTGAAACAAGTTACAGCATCTAGTCCTCCCCTGCTGGGCCTTGCAGAGGGGGGAGCAGGGTTTTAGGGGCAGAGGCGCCTTACCTTAGGAAACTGGTAGGAGACCTCCGGGAGGTAGGTGTTTCGGGATGGCTTCTTCCTGAGGGACACCACCACAAAGTACTCAAAGAGCTCCCGCTCCTGCCACTCAAGCAGTTCCAGCTCCAGGGTCCGATAGCTGGGCGCGCGCTTCAGCATTGACTGGATGTGGACCAGGCGCTGTGTGTGGGCTGGGGGCAGGTCACACATCAGGGGACACACAGGCTGGCCCCTCACAGCCTCCCAGGAGCCACTCTGCTCTGATCCAGGGCTCTTCCCTGTGGATTTTCTCTAAGCACACGAGCCTCCCGGGCTTCCCCTTCCCCAGCTAGGTCCCTGAATGGGACGTCACTAGCTTAGTCCTCTGGAGCTGCTGGAGGCTGAACTGGGGCCAACAGGACTGCCCAAACAGGCAAGCCCAGGGATGAGTCACTGCACCTATGCTATCCCAGTGCCAGCAGAGGTGGACAATATAAATATCTGCGGAGGCTTCAGCCCGGGGCTCCTACCAGAGTCCTTGACCTTGGGCTCTTGGCTTCTGTCCCTCAGAAGTCCACTTGCCCAACTGCCTAGGGCCCAATAGTGAAGGAAGGGAGGAGGGAGCAAGCTTTGTATCGCTTCAATCACCCGAGCAGGGCCAGGCAGGGCTTCACAGCAGAGACCTGCCCAGGTCCCCAGGAATGGGAAGGTCACAGAACCTTTTCAGGGAGGGCAGTGATCTCTCCTCTGGTGATGGGGTCATCTATGGGGTGGCCTCCAGAGGACTGATTTCCTCAGCCTTTGAGATTACAATTATTGCAACCAGAAGAGGTGCTTTTAATCTGAACCCATCTCTGACCCTCTAGAGTGACATTAACCATGCAAATTAAGCACATGATTCCCAGGATCACTTGCCTTCACTTTGGCAAAGGGAGATGGGTGGATTTAACCTTACAGGGCTGAGCTCAAACATCTGTAAGAATGGAATGCCCTACAGCTCCCTGTTTTGTAGGCCTGGTTATCTTGCCTTTGGCTGCTGCACACTGGAACTGCATATGTGAAGGAGGGGCGGACGGATCCCCTGCAGCCAAAGCTGGGAAGGAGTTGGGGAGTCAGGCCTCACCTTTGAACCTGTCATCGGAGTCGCTCTCACTTTCACTGTTTTCATCTGGAAAAGGAATGGCAGGAGTGCATGTTGCGTTTTTCTTCCATGTCCCTCCCAACTCTTTTTCACAGGAAGGACCTGTACCCACGCTGGGTTGCTATGGGCCCATTGTCAGGCATCTGTGGGTGGCAGCTGAGTGAACTGGGCTCAGGGTCCATCAGAATCCAAACTGTGGGTACTTATCTATTTGTAAATCCCTATCCAGGCCTGATCAGGTAGGGGAACTGAGCCAGCTGAGAGGCTTACAGGCCTAAAACACCAGGGCCTTGCCTCTGGGTGGCTAAGATATGAAATGGCAAACAGACCGCTGTGCCCTGTGTCTGACTTCTTTTGCCAGAAGCAGAGTTCCACACCTACCCCTGACCCCAGGCCCCACAGCCTGAAGCCTAAAGGACCTCATCTGCAAGGAGCTTCTGTGCTCTCTGGCCTACCCTTCTAACGTGGGTATTTTCTGGAAGGATTCTGTTGCCCTGGATGACAGGAAGACCCTAGGACTGGCCCATAGAGTGAGGCCGGTCTATGCTATACTCCCCTTTCCTCATGCCCAAGGGCCCCAGACACCTGAACAGGTTCAGATGCAGCCTACCTCTTAGCGATGCTGTCTCAATGCTGGACATAGAGAGCTTTTTTAACCTCTTCTTTCCCCTCTTGGCACTGTAGATGGAGTTAATTCTCTGAACAAGCTGGGTGAGAAAAGGAGGGAAGGTGAGGTGACCTCAATAGTCTCCAACTAGGTAAATCTGTCCATTCCTTTCACTCTCTAATTGGTGCAAGCTTTCTGTACCCCACAGCTCTGGGCCTAGCATTGGTCCTCCTAATGAGCTGTCCTCCAGTAGAGACTCACCAGCCATGCCTGGTTGCTCTCCATCTGCCTGCTCCCCTAGGAGTGGTCTCCTGCCCCAAGACCAAGACACTAAACTTAGCTCCCCAGAGGAAGGAACTGTGATCAAACTAGACAGGATGGGAGCTCCTGGGTCCCAAGAGTCATTGAACCAACTGAGACAAAGAGCTTCTCAGATGCAATAACAGGAACAAGGATTCTAGCCTTTCCCCTCTGGGCCATAACCTGGGGCCCTGACAGGAAGAAGCTAAATTCCCAATATACCCAAGCATTGTTTGCAGGCTATAAATACCAGCTGGAGAAATCCTGCTGCTTTGGGCTGGGGGTTTGAGCCTGACTGTCCATATGTGCAAATCATTGCTAAAAATTATTTTAAGATCTTGGGGAATCAAAGAAAGGAAGATCATAGTTGGATCCCAGCTCCTGGGACTGTCTGGAAATGTTTCCGTGTGCACAAAGACCCCCAACATTTTTACACTGCCCTCACTGACACAGAGTCTCAGCCAGCCTTTCTCTAACATCTGAGTACCAAGATCAGTGGATGCATCTTCATTGGTTTGAAAAGGAAATGAACTAAATGAAAATCCAGTCATGGACCTTAACCTCATTCAAAGGGAATTGAGGAAGCAGCACAGAGAGAGGAAGGAAAGACAGAAGGAAGGAAGGACAGAAGGGGCCAGAGAGCTGCCTGCCTGCCTGCCCACCTGCCCAGCCCCTGCACACTCTCTAGGAGACTACCTTGGGGATGCGGCGGGCCCGGCGGCTGGACAGCAGCTCACTGGTGGTGCTGAGGCTGTCCTCATTGAGGCTTGAGGGAGAAGACGGCAGGCTCAGCTGAGCCAGCAGCAGCATGTCGTCATGGCTGTGTCTCTTGGGTAATCGTGGCAGCCGGTGGCTCTTCCTTTCTGACCAGTTCCCACTGCGCAGGGACTGGCTGCTGGGTTTCAGGGAGAGCTGGTATGAGAAAGAGAGGATATGATGGAGGAGCCAAGGAGGAACCATGGATTCCTTTGCCAGAACCTGATGCTAGGACATTGACAGAGAAGCCATGGTCTGGCAAACTAGACAGGATAAGAGTGCCTGGGTCCCAAGAATCATTGAACCAAGCGACTTGGTTGACCCCCAGCCCCAATCCTCGCACTGTCCTCCCCTGGATTCCCACTGACCACATTGCCCTTGTCAGATCTGAGCTGCCAATCAGGATTAGATTAATACTTGCCACTCACTAAGGCCTGCCTGTCTGGGTAAGCCTGGTAACCAGGATTGACTTCTTCCTGGAACAGCCCAAGGAATCTGGGCTCTGACCAATACTGGGCAAGGCACGCCTCACCCTTGACTGGCTCTCCAGATGTGAGATCCTGGGCTGCCCCAGGGCTTCAACCCTGATCTATTTTCTGTCTCCCGCGTCTCTGCTTGTGGTGGGCCCTAATCACAGCTGGGCAGGTGGGGGTCCCTGCAGATGTCCACCCATTATCTGGATCTGAACTGCCTCTCCTCATTTAGCCACTTGTCAGCAAATCCTGCTTCCTTCCAACCCCTCAATAACCTCCTTCTACCCTTGCTCTGGAAATACAAATTCAGTGCAAGCCTGTTGGAACTGTAATAAAGAATAAATACATCTTTAGTATTAGAAATTATATCATTCCAAAGGCAGAAGAAATAATTTTTGGACACTCTGGCCAATGTGGTAACTATCCAGGTCCCTCATCTGCAGAGAACTGGAATGACTTCCTCTTAGCTCCTGTACAAGACCAGACTGAACCTAACTCACCCTTTACACTAGCATCTATTCTGCCTTGTCTCAGTCCATTTTCTATGGATTCATACTTCCTCAAGCGAAAGTGGTTTCCTTCCGGTGCTGCACACACCTGCCTGGTTCTGTATGTCTGGTTTAGGGCCTATACCCATCCCTAAAGGCTGACCTGGAGGTCACCCCTGAGTTGCAGAATACCAACCAGGACCCTGCCTTCTGGCTGCTCACCTGAGCAGACAGGACCTGGCTGCCACTCTCAGGCTGACCCCACCAGCCCACGTCAAGGCTGCGTTACCTGCGTGGGTGGACTGTTGTACTTCCTGTCCTGAGGACTCCACATCCTGTGCAAAGAGTCCAGCGAGTTCTCAGACAGTTGCTGGGATTTTCGGCCTGCTCGTCGGCTCTTTAAGTCCACATCCTCATACGGATTCTCCTTGGGCAGATCTCCTGCAGAGGAGGAAGGATTAGAGAAGTGGGAGAAGGGAAGAAGGAACTACACACACACACACACACACACACACACACACACACACACAGAGAGAGAGAGAGGCAGAAGTCTTCCAAACCAAAGAGAATGGCTTCTGCCTGGCCCCTGCAGCTCATGAGTCACACAGCTGCCCATCTGCAGTGGGAGGGCTACAAACAGATCCTGGCTCCAAGTCCAGAAGTGGAGCGCCCCCACCTCCAGTGCAGCTCAGCTCAGCCTCCTCGGGACTCTGCCTTATAAATGCAGAGATTGCACAAGACTGGGCTCAGCTACCCCTGCCTGTGCCCAGTCGAAGGACAAAGCCAACACCAGGAGTTTTTCCTTGGCTGCTAAAGTCCTAGAGCTAAGGAGTTTAGGCAGGAAAGGGGTTCAGAGGGTCACATGGCTGTCCCTTTCCCCAGCTCACTAGGGATCACTCTTCTGAAGGAAGACCAGGGACAGGAACAGTATGGAGGTGGGGCTTGATGAAGCCTCCCTCTCACGTTTTCCACTGTTCAATGTGTCCAGGGATTTTGTCTTGTTCATGGAGGCAACTCCAGCACTAGAACAAGTGCTTAGCAAATAGTGTGTATGCAGTAATTCCTTGCTCAATGAACTGTACTAACTGCAAAGCCAGACCATTTCCTCTGCAGCTGAATACAGCAGAAAAGAAGCATCCTCATTTCTCTTTTAGAATAAACTCTCCTGCTGTGACCCAGGGAGCTGTGAAAGGTTTGGAAGGACTCTAGGCCAAGGCACAGGGGTAAGAAGGGTGGGGAGAGTTCTTGCTAAAATTCCTGGCAGTTGGCATTATATTGGCACCACCTAGAAATCTCAGCAGAGACTGCCCATGAAGAGTGATTCTGAGACAGACCCCTCCCACAGGCTATATCTTCCTGTTCCTTCCCCTCCAACATACACCTAGACTTTCCTAAAGCACAAGAAATCACGAACCAGTGCAGTCTGAGACCAGTCTTAGTGGCATAACAGCAGTAGGGACAAGGCCCAACGGACCTTGAGTGGACAGAGTCCTCTGCTTTACTTGCCTTGCTTCTTCATGTCCTTTGGAATTGGGACCTGGCTACCAGGCACAGAGTAAGGTTCTGTTGAAGCGGGCATACCTGGTGAGAGCAGAATGCAGCATGGGTCGTGGCCATCTGCCTACATATGCCTGCATGTGCCTAGCCACCCCAGAAGAGCCCAGACCCCACTCCTTGGGGAGTAGGCAGAAGAGCAAGCTAGAGGACTGCCATACAAACACAGCTGCTCAGAGAGTAAGCTTTCCTAGATAGGGTGAAGAAAAACTCATCCCCATATGCTTTCAGATTCCTCGATGTCCATAGCTGAAGTTCTACCACACTGTGGCATCTTACTGCTGCTGTAAGAAACCACAATGAGTTTCGGAAATGCCTTCCCAAAGGAAGTTGGGGGAGGGAGGATCTCAGTCACAGCTGGAGAGACAACAGCAGGAGCAATACAACTCTGTGAACTCAGGAGTCCAAGTTGGGTGGCAAAGAATTTGGGGCTGGATGAAGTGATGCCCAACACTGAGCAGAGTCCCCAGAAATGCAGCTGACTTATCCCTGCAACGTGGTTCTGCTGATGCATCTCCACTGCAGGCCCTGTTCTCCAGCCCATCCCGCTGGGGGCTGCGCAGGAAGGCACTGCAGGATCCCATTCTTCTGCAGGGGTGAGGTGGTGACGTCCATGTAATTTATGATCCTGGAAAGCAGGATAAGAGCCTCCCCGTTCAGATGGCTATAGGGAGAAGGTTGATTCTGAGTACAGCAAACCCAAATGCCCCCAGACTAGAAGACCAGCCAGTGTTTTTGTCATCATGCCACAACCAAGGTGAAGACCTGTCTCAATCCCTCCAGTTCAGGGTTCCTTGACACTCTGCACATTTGGGGTTGGATAATGCTTGTGGTGGACCATCCTGTTCATCCAATCTGCTAGCTGACATCAGTACTTCCTCAGCTCTAACCACTACAAATGTCTTCAGACATGGATCAAAGCCCCTTTGGGGTAGAGCCAAGGATGAGAGGGAGACAGGGGCTGGTATAGTAGATTAAGCTGCTGCCTACAATACTGGCATTCCATATGAGTACCAGTTTGAGTTCTGGCTGCTCCACTTCCAATCCAGTTCCCTACTAATGTGCCTGGGAAAAGCAACAGAGGATGACCTAAGGGCTTGGGTCCCTGCACCTATACAGGAGACCTGAAAGAAGCTCCAGGCATCTAGCTTTAGTCTGGCCCAGCCTTGGCCATTGTGACCATTTAGGGAGTCAATCAGTAGATCTAAGATTTTTCTCTTAGTGTCTCTACCTCTCTGTCTTTCTCTGTAACTCTATATTCCAAATAAATAAAATAAATCATTATAAAAATATTAAAAAGCGGGGGTGGTGGCTTAGGGAGAATGGAAAGAATGGAAGGAAGCAAAAAAGCAGGCAGAAAGTCATTGCCTGCTATTAGCAACTACTGCTAAACCCAAGGCTAACCCTCTTTTCTTCCATCCTTTCCTCTGTCCCTTCTCCTTACTCCCTCCTTCCTTCCCTGGAATCAGAGCCATTAAATTTTGATAATAAATCCAAAGCCCCATCACAAAATGTAGGGCTCCAAGGCTAAGGAACAGTCTGACGCTCAGTGCTGAGGCACAACAGCGACCACGCAAGGCCAAACAGCTGTGAGCAGCATGTTCCTAAGGCTGGCCCTGTCTCTCTGCAGGACCCTGATTTCAGGAAGGTATCAAATGCTGGCTCCTATCCAGGGCCTAAAGCCAGGCTCTTCCTTCTCCAGCAATATTTGGTACCTCTCTGATGGAACCAAGCCTCTGGTGACTCCTTTAGGAACCAAGGCTGACACCGACCCCAGCTAAAACTCTCACTACCTCATTCTACCTGTCTCTCCTGCTTCCTACACTGCCCCAGGTAACCCTTTAGGAGCTGTCTCTAGGGTACATCTCCAGGCAGTGGGCATGCCCAGGGTGCAGAGGTGTGAGGATGTGCAGAGGCCAGGTGGATGTGGGATCCCAGAGCTACTAAACAGACCTGCGAGAGCAAATGAACACACCCAGTCAACAGGTCAGAGTGGGGAGAGCAGCAGAGCTGGGGAACAGTATTCAGAACAGAGCTCCAGGGAACTGGAAGAAGCTCGAGGCAGGCAGGGAAGTGCGGGGCTGATTTGGTGGGGACAGCAAGACAGACAGGAAGCCTGGCAGATGGCAGTGCAAGACTTTCACCTGCCTTCCTGCCCACATAACTTCCTCAGAACAGTCTACATGGAGGACGGCCTCTTCCTAGGAGGCCTGGCCCCGTGCAGCCCTCTCTCATCCAGCCTCGCTGAGGAAGCCAGGGGTCTCAACCTTTCCCAGCTTTGCTGATGAGATAAGGGGCAAGGGCATCACCAAGAATGTCCGCTTTGCACTCTTCTAAAAGAGGCCTGTCAGAGTCAGCCTGCTGATCCTCCCACTGGGCGCTGATCCTCCCACTGGGCCCTGCCCCACCTCCTTCCCATCACTCCTGGTAACCATAAAGCAACACCCACTCCCCCATCCCCAACCTAAAAGAATCACTTAGGGAAGGTGTGTGTGTGTGTGTGTGTGTGTGTGTGTGTGTGTGTGCGCACTGGACAGTCCCAGCTTCCTGGGTCACACCCATGGCTATGTCCTGGAGTTTGTAGCCTCCTTCCCTGAGACTCTAGTTCCCATCAACTGTTTGCTGTCCTGGTTTGCAGCATTCTCCTCCCCTGTCATGCAGCAGAGAAAAAAAGTCAGGCTCAAGCCCAACCCCACCAGGCCAGCTGTTACCCACCCTTCAAGTCTTGACCCCATTTCCCAACCCAACCCCCTTCCCGGGTAACCCCTCTTAGCTGTTTGGTTTCCTGTGGCAACCTCCATCCTGGTAGGTACCCTCTGTGCCTGATTGTTTCCCAGCCTGGGTGGTGAGTGAGAGAAGAAGGCAGAGAGTGGAGGCTCAAAACGCTCTGCAGTACAGGCCACTGGCCTGGTCCCCAGCCTGCATCCCACAGAAGTTCCTGGAAACTCTCCGTCAGCCTGAGCTAGCTGATGGGAACGGGAATCTGCAGGAATGCAGCTCAGTCTCCTTGGTCCGGCGCCGAGGCCACTCTACATAACTCCCTAACAAGCTGCTTCCTCGGGTACATTTTTAAATGTCAGACTGAGAATGCAAACGAGTTGAAGGCTTAGCCGAATAGCAGCATCTTCCGAGAGCAGATGTCAAACTAGACAGACAAGAATGAACAGCCGCAGAAAGCAGCAAGACAGCAACTTTCCTCTTGAACTCTTCCTATTGTACAGTAGCAGAATAAACTTCAGCCTGCTTGGCAGATCCCCTATACCCAGCACCCTAGGCATCATGCCCAGGGTGAGCAGGGGTCCAGCAAACTCCCTTGGCCCCCAGTTTAAATCCACTGCTGACATGAAGACATGTTAGTCCTGGGACCCACTGGCCCTCAGCTTTGGCTTTGAAGAGCTCAGGAGCCACAATCAGCTGGTAGGGAGGAGACAACTTGGCTGCTCTTTGACTCCCCTCCCCTGCCCAAGGCCCCCACAGTCACACGCCTGGAGCAAAGCACTGTTTGTCCCTGTGGAAGTGAAGCAGCACAGGGTTGGGCAGTCCAGCAAACATGAGAAACAACCTTCATCCAACAGAATGTAGACTGGATAATGCCGCGACAGCAAGGACCCCCAGGAAGTCAGAGCTACTAGTCCTTGTGAGGCCAAAAGTGAAGCTGACATTCGGAGCCAAACCACCAGAGAACCTCTGAAGCCTGGTGAGGGTGAAGAGGTGGAAGGGGAGGGGGAGGGAGGAAAGACAGGGGAGGGAGGCTCCACATTCCTGGGCCTGTCTCCAGAGAAGGATTAAGAGGTAAACTGACCACATGCTCACAGGAGGAGACTATTCTCCCTTGTATTTCCTTCTTGCCTCCCTGGTCAGGACCTAGAGATCCAGATTGCTTTTGAGGAGTCCGAAGGAAGGAAGCAAAACCCCAAGCAAGTGTCCTAACTTTAGATTCTTGAAACCCACTCCCATGCCAAAAGGCGGAAGCAAGACCCAAATATCCAATATATTCTCCCAAACAGGTGACTGGGTAGCCTCCTGCCTCTTTCTTATAGCTTCCCCCTCTTCTCTGACTCCTATCCAGAAATGAAGGGAGTGTTTAAAGAAGATGCCCCAAGTCCAACGCACCTCCCACCTCCTCGACACAGCCCTTAGCCCCAGTGCATCGGAGCCGCTCTGGTGTTTCCTTGTCTGCTCATGCATCATCCCATGTGGGACAAGGTCCTTTCTAATGAGCAAAGGGACATAAGCCCAGCAACATTCATCTGCTTTTTTCCTTCTCTCTAACTTGTCTGAAGACGGCCTGGGAACGGTGCCTCAAAAAATCTTCCCTAGACACTGGCTCCAACATAAAGGTCATGGACTGTGAAACTGTGAACTTGGGACCAGGTACACCTGATGCAAGAACACAGCTCAGAAGGCTGCCTGTGCCTTGCCAAACAAAGGAGAGCAGAGCAGCAAGGATCACAGGACACCAGGGAGGTACACTGGGGTGGGGACACAGCAGAAATGGCCCTCTTTGGACACTGTGGCAACCACACCAGGAGTGCTCCCAAGAGTCCCAGGCAGCTATCATACAGTGCAACTCCTATCAAACCAGAGAACACTAGGGCATATTTTGCAATGAGATGGCGGAGAGGATGCGGTAACAGCATCTTCACTGGAGAAGACTTTGCTACACAGAGAGGAAGCCTGGAAGCCTTTTGGACAGACAAGTTCCAGCTCTAGGGATGCATGGGGGGTAAGGCTGCTGTTGGGACATCTTTTTTAACTGCGTCCTCACTTTGGAATCTCCTGAGTGCTTGATCTCAGCTCTGAGTGGCCTGTGATACAAAGCTGCCTTTTCCTAGTGGTAAGGGGGATGGTCCAATCCTGACTCTATTGCTGGTTTAGGACTCCTGCTTAGTCACAGCTGCCTGCTCTGACTGCTTGTGCCCGGCTGCACACTGCACCCTCCATTCCAGGAAGAACAGTTTCACCCTATGTGTGGACCCAAGCATGGCTGCTGTACACCAAGGATGCTGGCCTGGCAGCTGGGAGGAGAAAAGCAAGGCAAGGAGAGCTCATGCCAAACAAGCGACTGAATGGTCCTCTCCTCACAACTCCCAGCCTCGTGAGAATCCACAGGGCTCTCTCTACAGAGGCCACTTCTCTCTCTGCTGTTAACTAACATCACGTCCTCTAGCTTCAAGGCCTGAGACAGGGGGAGCAAGGCAGCACCCAGGGACTCTGCCTTCATCCTCTTCAATGCCACAGAAAGTCCCTCACTGAAGACAATGAGAGCAGAACTAAAACAAACACTAGGACAGCCATCTGGCCCAGCAGCTGGGATGCCGCCTGGGACACCCACACTCCACATCAGTGTATCTGGACTGGTCCCCGGATCCAGCTCCTGACTCTAGTTTCCTGCTCAGGTGAACATCAGTGATGACCCAGGTGAGTTCCTGCCCTTCACATAGGACTGCTCCCAGCTTTAGCCTGGCCGAGCCACCACTCCCCACACCCATTTATCACTGGCTACTGCAGACATCTGGGGAGTGAACTAGCAGGTACACTCACTCTCTGCCTCTCAAATAAACTAGTAAGCACATATTTTTAAAAGATTTATTGGGACTGACGTAGTGGCCTAGCGGCTAAAGTCCCCGCCTTGTACATGCCGGGATCCCATATGGGCACTGGTTCGTATCCCGGCAGCTCCACTTCCCATCCAGCTTCCTGCCTGTGGCCTGGGAAAGCAGCAGAGGATGGCCCAAAGCCTTGGGGCCCTGCACCCATGTGGGAGATCTAGAGGAAGTTCCTGGCCTCTGGCTTCAGATAGGCACAGCACTGGCCGTTGCAGTCACTTGGGGAGTAATCATTGGACAGAAGATCTTGCTCTCTGTCTCTCCTCTCTGTATATTTGACTTTGCAATAAATAAATAAATAAATCTTTTAAAAATGATTTATTGATTGCAATGGTAGAGTTCGAGTGAGAGAGAGGCAGAGAAATCTTCCAACAGCTGGTTTACTCTTCAAATGGCCACAACATTCAAAGCTGGACCAGGCTGAAGTTAAGAGCTAGGACTTCATCTGGGTCCTCCACGAAAGTGCAGGGGCCCAAGGTCTTGGATCATCCTCTGCTTCTTTCCCAGACACATTATCAGAGAGCCTTACTGGAACGGGAGCAGCTGGGACTCTAACAGGCACCTTTATGGGATTCAGATGCTGCAAGTTCAGCTTAACCTTCTGTGCCAAGGCTGCAATCCCCACTGATTAGAACTTTTTAAAAAGGCAAAACTAATCTGGCGTAAGACCCCTGAACTCAAGTTTGCTAAAAACATTTCTCCTTATTTGTTAAAAGACAATTAATTGTCTATGTGGTCTTAAACTTTAGACAGAGCAAGGGACTGCTCCAAACTGTATTCTCAAGGATGTGTCTAAAGCAAGAAGTCTTGGAAGACAGGGAGATTGGTTTCCTGGCCAGAATGACAAAGATGCTGTCTCCTTTTAGAGCAGGCTGGTCTTATGAGCAGGGATATGGCCCACGGTGTGCACAACCTCTCTCAGCCTCCGCCACACTACCTTGTGGGACTCGTGAACATGAAGCTCATGCTGCACCTGTGCAATGCGGGTGATGATACCCAGTGTGTACTATGGACTGAATGTCGGTGTCCTTCCAGAATTCACCCATGAGCATGTAATCTCTAGTGTGTAGGCATCTGTGGATGGGGTTGTTGGGAGGGCAGAGCCTCATAAAAGCCCTATAAAACGGACCCCAGGGACCCCTTTGCCTTTTCTACCTCACAGCTTTGAACTAGAAATAGGGCCTTGCCAGACACTGGATCCACCCATTCCTTACTCTTCCCTTATCAAATCCTAACAACCTTATGGAGTGTTACCATTACTATGGCTGTTATTAATGTCATCAGATCACCAGCATTTAATAAGAGAAACAGAGCCTGGGCACGAGGTAGGTGATTTGCTGGGGACATAACGCTAAGGAAGAGTTAGGCTTCTGAACTCTCAAGCCTCCAAAAAAGAAAAGAAAATTACATTCCCCACCCTCACCCTCCACTTCAGGCACTCCCTGTTGGGGCCCAGCTTATTTGATGGCCAGGCTAGAGCCACTCACTGCCTCATCTCTTTTGAGAGGTCTCCTCAGAAGCCCATTTAAAGGAGGAGCTCCCAGAGCTGGGATTGTACCTGCTCACAGCACATCAGGTGAGCCTGGGGGCACCTCCCCTCATTCCTGTTCTGCTACCCCCAGAGTTGACCTAACCCAGCACCTCTGCCACTGCTTACCCACAATGTCTTCGTAGGCATTTTCTTCTAAAGTGCTTTTGGATCCAAACTTGGGTTGGTTCTCAGTACCATTCTCAGTGGGAGAAGAGGGGTACAGGGACTGGAGACTGGACGCATCCTCAAACTCAAAGGATTTTCTGTGGGTAACAAGAGCAAGAGTCATTCCAGCTGAGCCATAGCCCTGCTGCCCTGTTGGGGAACGGTCATGGCCATAGCAGATCTCAAAGGTTCTCCCCACAAGCCAAGTTGGTGAGAAAAGCTCATCAGGACTCCAGAGGCAGATCAGGCAGATCCAAATACCTTTGGCCAACACAGGAATGGGTAACTTAATTTGCCCCTAGGGTCCCCAGCCCTCTGCGTCCCTTTGGGGTTTCCTGCCCGCCACACTGAGCAGTCGGTGGGTCCAGTATTGGAAGGGTCATGCCTAGGTCTGTGACAGGGCTCCCGGGGAAGCAGATGACATCATGTGACTTGTAGATATAGGAAAGGTAGGGCCCTCAAAGCAAATCAGAACACTTCTGAGGTGGGGAGCTAGGGAAATCTGCTCCCAAAACCATTGGCAGGATCCTGCCCCTCTTCAGCTAAGAGCCTGCTCCTTTTCATTCTCCCCAGTCACCTTCCCCTGAACTCCAGAAGTACTACTCCAGGAGTACTAGGGACTCCTCTTTTTATGGCTAGGTACTGCCTTCATCTAACACTCCTTACCCTGTCTGAGGCCCAGAAAGCTCCTCGGGAGGGAGAGAAGGCAAAGTACTAACTGAATGTCCTCTCTCATCCACCAATACCTCCTGCTTCAGTTGGGTACCAGAAGTCCTTCCCCGCTTGCTTACTGAACAAACTCCTCCTGAGACGCCTGGGGTGCAAGTCGGGACCAAAAGTGTCCTCCAGTTTACATGGAATCCCCATAAGCTGGGCACGTGACCAGGGCACCTCCCCAGCAGCAATTTCTGACTCTTGCCGAGGGACTCTTATTTCCCACTTGCTTTTTAAGTCCCAGGTTCTCAGAGCTGGATCTTCAGGACTCTGTCTCACTCTGTTCTTCATAGGAGTCAGACACCAGTGGGCCATCACCGTCAATGCTATCTATTTTTTGATGATTCCCAAACACCCACCTCTCTCAAAATTAGTTAAATACCCAATGGCTGAGCACAATAGTTCCCAAGTGTTTGGCTTATATTGCTGATGATTGTGTGAGACCAGGTTTTCCTTGATATATGCAGTGGAGTCAGCATCTTATGAAGGCAATACCAGCATCAATTAAAAACACACAAATAGCATTCAGCCAAATTATCCTTGAAAATCTCTCAGGAAAGTAATCACATGGAATACTGATCTGCTGACTTGCATCAAGACCAACACAGTCTTTCCTTCAGATTTTCTAAAACAGATTTGTCTTTGGCTGAATACCAGAAGAAATATTTGGCTTGCATTCATTTAGATGAAAAAGCATATTAAATATAAAGTCACACCCGGCACCACAGAAAGCAGCGTGTCTCCCCCCTGACTCAGGGGAACATGCTGATGTATAGGAAGGGAGACAGCACAGCCTACACGTTATTTGAACAGCCTCTCCGTTTTTCTTTGAGAGCACGGATTAAATCTTGCCATGTGAATTTTAATACGCAGTGGCTCCACCACAGATGGTGTATGTGTTTGTGTTATTATACACAATTGCCATGTGTACAAGAAGGAGTGTACAACCTTCAGGTTGATGAGTCCTTCCCATATGCCTGTTAGTCATCAAGTGAATTGCTCCTTGTTTATGGAAACTTGAGAGTTCGGCAACTGCCTCCGTGAGGACCCTACCTCCTCTCCCTCTCTCTCCCATGTCTAATCTAGATTCTCCTTTCTGAGGTCTCTGTGGCACCCTGTGCAGACATGGGTTGAGGTACACATCACAGTATTTATGACTTATCTGTGCACCAGACCAGGCAGTCCTTCAAAGAAACAACCCACCTCTTCCTTGCCTGTGTCCTCCTGGTCAGTACGTGGCTTGGTGCATCACAAACTCTGGATAGTGTTTATAAAAACAAATAAGCAAAGGACAAAGCAAACTTTCTTAGAAGACCTCTAAAGAATTAAAGGGCCAGTGAGCATGGTAGAGAGGGCTAAGGGCATGCAGCAAACCACAATTACCCCTTAGCCAAGGCCTTATCTGACTCAGGAACTTGAACTTTGATTTTTTCCTTTCTGCCCATAGATGAAAGTCTGTCTATGAGATAGGATGTTCTGGATGAAACCTGAAGTATGGAAACAGACTGAAGAACATCCAAAGTGAAGAAACCCTAAAAGTCCACCTGACTTTGGATTACATAAGAAAGGCAGCATGAATATGAACACAGGTGTCTGAATGAGGCTGGCTTCTATCCCACCCCACCTCAATCCAGGGAAGAAGATGCCCAACAGGCATCTATCACCAAGTCTGGCAGCTCCAGCGCCCACATCACTGTGGAGAGAGGGACCTGGTAGTCCAGGATTCGAAACAGGAGACTGATTTGTATATGTGCTGCCAAAGCAAGCACCAGGAGGTTGATTTGGAAACCAACAGGAACCCTAGAACAAGTCATTCTCAGATACGATCAGGAAACAGGTGAACTGTTATTTCAGTCCTTTTCCCATCAATCTCCTCTTTCAGAATCAGACAATCTCATGGAGAGCGGCCCCAGGATCCCTGTGTAGCCTGGAGGCCCTCAGGAAGTACAAACTCCTGCTAAACTGGCCAGCACCACTGTGCTAAGTGCAGTACTCAGACAACACTGCACTCAGAGGAATCATTTTCTAGTGTGGGCACTTCTGATAGTAGCAAGGCTAAGCGCCTAAGAGTAGGCTAACTCTGAACCTCCACTGGAGGACCAAGGAAACTGACAGGACTTGGGGCACAGTCCAGGCTCCACTCCAAAGGCCCCACTCAGACCCTAACTCCAGGGCACAATACTGGGAAGAAGTACCTCACCCTCCCAACTCGTGCTCCAGTCTTCTGCATGCAAGCAGCACAGCCATCTCATCTCTACTTTCTCAAAGGCACCCAACACTTCAGAGCTTCTACAGCACTACTGACTGTGACCCACAAGGCCAACATCTTTCACATCCTCCATGGAAAGGGAAGCCACCATACCCAGCAAGAAGACCCAGAAAGGGGACTTGGCGTTACCTGCTCTGGGACTTGCGGTGACCACGCATATCCTTCTTAGGTCTCCGGGTAACTGGTGGGGCTGGGGTGGAGGGTAGAGGAGGTGGAGCAGCAGGTGTGGGCGAAGGAGGTAGACCATTGCTTGGCTTATTCTTGGGGTTCTTGTCAGCCTCATACTCAAAGGTGCGCTTGGGTTTGGGGACAGGGTTCACTGCGGGATCATGGGAGCTCTTTGAGGGCAGCAGCTGGGAGCTGGGGCTACTTCCAGGGGTCCCTGGTTTTGTGGAACCACTGTTTTCCCTTTCTAGGGGTGGGCCCGCCTCCCCGCCACCTGCTCCCACTCCTGCTGCCCTGCTGCTGGCGCTCACACTCGCACTGCCTGCTGGCTCTCCCAGGGCTCCCAAGGTTCCGGTCTTCCTTTTCCCTCGGTCTACACTATAGCAGCTGCTGGGGAGCTGGGGCAGCCCCCCACCTGGCTGCTCCTTTAGAACCTGTTCAATCTTCTGGATCCGGCTCAGCACAGCTGAGCTCTCCTTCCTGCTGCCATGTGCCCTGAGGAAGGCACTGTGCTCACTCCGGCCTGGCCGCTTCTCTGGCCGGTGCAGAGAGTCCCGGTTGGGCAGCACCTCTCCCTCCTCCTCGGTCTCAGGGTAAGAACACTCGGAGAAGGTCCTGCTCATCCTCCGGAGGCCCTTGAAGTCAAAAGTCTTTTCTGAGCTGCAGGGGGACGGCACCACACTTGGGCAGCCCTCACTGACCGCCCACTCGCCGCCGGAGCCCTCCCGCTTGTCCCCACACATGCTCATCCTGGGAGAGGCCTCGCGGCGACCTTCCCATGCTGATATCTTCTCCCGGATGCCCAGGTTGTGGGCCCGGGGGCCAGTGCGGGTCAGCAAGGCACTCCGGGAGCCAGGTCCCAGGAATGGAGTGCTCTGGGCAAGGGGGAGGCAGGAGGCTACTCCCTCTACATCCTGGGCCAGGTCTTGCACGCTCCCCTTTTGGTCTTCTCTCTTGTACACAGAAGGGCTTCTGTCCAAGGAACCAAAGTTGCTGGCCTTGAGGGCACAGCCAAGCGGTGATGTGTCTGCGCAGAGTTCCTGAGGATTTTGGGGTGAAGGATCACGAAGGTGCCAGTTCTTGACGAGCACCCTGGAGCTGGAGTGGCTAGGGTACCTGCACGCTGAGGTTTCACTGTCGCTGAGTGGGTAGAGGGGACTCCGTGGTGGAGAGAGAACTGGAGGTGGAGAGACGGACTGAGACCTGGGAACAAAACAAAACAGAATGCAAAAAGAAAAAGAAGATGGCAGTGCACGGCCCACCCACTGGAGGGCCCAGGTTACAGAGCTCAGCATCAGTTCCCCGAAGCTAAGAAGTCCTTTGTCCCAGAGCACTCCCTCAGGGAACAGGAGATCCCTAACCACAGCTGGACACGCTCCCCAACAACGTCTGCAATAGTAGCCTGCTCTGGGATGAACAGAAGTATCTCAAGAATACACCTGTGCCCAAAGGAGACCAAAGGCCCAGCCTGCACTGGCAAGTGCCTAACGACCAGTTCTCTGTAAGCACAGACCAACAGCGCCTGCCAGCTTCTGTGGTGCAAACAGTCTTACTGTGGCTGAGCTTTGGAAGCAACAATGCTGGCAAAGCACTATCAGGAGCACTTCCCACTCTCTCTCCAACCAGGAGGTCAGTGGTGTGGCATCACATCTAGCAAGCACCAGCCATTTCTCAGACCCTTGTCTGTTTATAAATTGTAGTGACTTCCAGGAACAGTCCAAAGTAAATGTTTTACATATATGTCTGACACTCCACTGGTGTCTCTCATGTGGGTGGCAGAGGTCTAAGGATTTGGGCCACCTTCTGAGACTTTCTTGGGTGCATTATCAGGGAGCTGGATTGGATGTGGAATAGCCAGGACTTCAACCAGTACTCTAATGTGGGATGCCCTCGACAGGCAGAGGCTCAACTTGTTATAGATGACCACTGATCCCTCTATTATCTTCATTTTACAAATGAAAAGCAATCACACACAGAAAGGTTAAACATCTCATCAAGGTCATTCAATTGGTAGTTGACGAGGACATGAACTTGTATATAATGTTGCCTAAGCAGCAGCAGTAGTCTTTGTTATTGTTGTGAACCATGCAAGACCCCCACACCATAGTCCAGTAGAAACCCCGTAGTGCGAGATAATCTGGAATGTCCTCACTGAGCGATGAACAGAGAAAGCAAGGAAAACGTACAGGCGAGCTGACTGCAGAGAACCCAGAGCACTCTTCCTCCCTAGCACATTTCCAGCTTGTCTCCCGGACTGATCACAGTCAACTTTCAAATGTTTCCAAATGGTTTTAGGTAGAAGATAGCAAAGTTCTGCCAAACTACATGCTGCAAAGTCCGACCTGACCCTAATGACACTGCCTACAACCCTGAGCTGCCCAGCCTCCCAGGCTCTAGAATGCCATGCCATCCACGGGACAGCAGCCAGCTGCTCCTGAGCCAGGCTGCTGTCACTGCCTGCTCACACACAGAAAACACGAGCTCCAGTGAGTCAGAGATTGGCTGCCAATTCCCTGTTGGGTCATAGCCTCTGGCTGCCCCTGATCAACAGGAAACCTCAATGTGCTTAAGTTGTTTTTAAAAGGACAAGTCAAACAAGAGCCATCCCACGTGAACATGGGCACAGATGAGAGAAATTCAGTGCCCAGCTAAGCCGATGGCCGGAGAAACTCCATTTAGAGAGGAGGTGTGAACAGAGCCCTCCCTAGGGCAGGCCGAGGCAGGGCAGTGTGCCAGGCTCAAGCCTCACCAGATCCTGACTGACATAAGCCGTAGACCTCTCATGTTACTGAACTACACAAGGAAAGGTTATCAGTCCAGCTCCTGGAGCAAATGAGTGTGTGAGCTACCACTCAAAGAACTCTGTTATTCTTAATGGAAGACAGGGAAGATGCATCTAGTAGATAGCTGTATCATTTATTTATGCATTCAATAACTACCAGTTCCTAGATGCTAGACCCTGTTCTAGGTGCTAGATACAGAGAAAAACAAAAAACAAACGAAAAACTTTTATCCTCATGAAGTTTAAATCTTAGTGGGAAATGACAGGCAAACATCTAAGGAGACTCAAATTCTCCTGGGAAACCTTTTTAAATTAGATGTGCCTTACCCACAATGCAGTTACTTTATGTTCTCCTAAGGATGGCTCTGCCCAGCCCTCAAAGGGAAAACTTAACCAGCCCAGCAAATTACAACTACTTCCGCGAGGATGGGGCACGGCTCCTGCAGATGGGAAAGAAGGATGGCTGACCTGTGGTCTGTTGGATCTCTGCATGTTTCAAGAATCAGTAATTCTTTAATTTCCTTTAGGGATTCTGGCATGGCTAAAACATTTCTCCTTGGTGCCCAGCCTGCTTTGCCTGGATCTGCTTCTCTCCTGCCATGAAGGACAGGGCACACTGGCCCTTTCTATGTTCCCACCTTCATTATCACTACTGCCAAAGGACATGGATGCAGGTGGTGCCCTTGCCCAGCCTGCCCACACAGGCTAAGTCCAACACGCTCCAACAACTTGAGATAGAAACAGGAGCCAATTCTTCTGACCTGGAGCCCAGGCATCCCTGGGTTCATGCAGAGAGCAATAAGTCACTTTGAGGTCCCTGGGACAAACTGGGAACAGTGCGCTTAAGGTCTTGCCTGTGGGAGACTGAAATTCTTAGCTGAAGGTAGTAGAATTCACTGTTGACCTCTTTTCTTTTTATTTGCATTGTTACAGATTTATTTATTTTTATTGGGAAGACAGATTTTCAGAGAGAAGGAGAGACTGAGAGAACGATTGTCCATCCACTGGCTCATCCCCCAAGCAGCTGCAACCATTGGAGCTGTGCCAATCCAAAGCCAGGAGCCAGGAGCTTCTTCTAGGTCTCCCAAGTAAGTGCAAGGTCCCAAGGCTTTGGGCCGTCCTCAACTGCTTTCCCAGGCCAGAAGCAGGGAGCTGGATGGGAAGCGGAGCAGCACAGGAATCAATGCCCATATGGGATCCTGGCACTTGCAAAGATTTTAGCCCCTGAGCGTTTGTGATAGGCCCTATTTGCATTTCTTTTATGCTGTATTCATTCCCACACCATTGTTTTGTCACTTTCTTTCGGGATATCTTTTCTCTTCTGTCCCCTCATCATTTGGAGACAGTTTGCTCTTCCTAGGGGAGGATCATCTCTGTGGCACGGAGAACAAGTATGCAGGACAATCCAACCGTGAGCTCTGTAGGTACGGTGAGTGCATTCTGGGTGCTTTGTTCTCTGACAGGGGCTGCAGCCAGACCCTTGTAGTTCAGCAAAGTGCTCTGTATCGTTAAGCATATGCATCACAAGCAGATTTCTTCCTGGACCAATAACCCTGGGTCCAGCCCCACTGTTGGGCTTGTGCGCACCTACCTACCCACCCGATCATTATGATGACAAATGGCACACACTGCTTCTGTAATCAGACAGCTTTCAGATACTTGGTGACCTTTCCATTTGTACATCTTTTGGTGGCCTGTGCCATTAAAAGTAGTTCAGGAAAGAGGCACCAGGTCCTGTAATGTGTGCTGTGAGGAATGTCTGTCTTTGGGTAAAGGTAATACAGGGTCCAGGCCACAACATCTCTCACCCCTATCAAGTAGTTACCTAGCTTGCTTCTTTTTTTTTGTTTTTAAAGATTTATTTTTATTATTTTTTTTATTGGAAAGGTGGATATACAGAGAGGAGAGACAGAGAGGAAGATCTTCCGTCCGATGATTCACTCCCTAAGTGAGCGCAACGTTCGATGCTATGCCAATCCGAAGCTGATGCTATGCCGATCCAAAGCCAGGAGCCTCCTTCAGGTCTCCCACGCGGGTGCAGGGTCCCAAAGCTTTGGGCCGTCCTCGACTGCTCTCCCGGGCCACAGGCAGGGAGCTGGAAGGGAAGCGGGGCTGCAGGGATAGAACTGGAGCCCATATGGTATCCCAGGCGTGCAAGGTGAGGACCTTAACCACTGTGCCACCACGCCGGGCCCATCCTAGCTTGCTTCTAATGAGACACAATTATGGCTGGCCATCCCCGATTCTCAGGATTCTCAATTCAGGTAGGTCCAGCTGGCTCAGCACACAGTGTGCTCTTCCTCCTGTCCCCCTTCTTCAGGGTGACATCCTCAGTGTGGGACCCAAGGCCCCAAGGCCGCACTCCAAACACAGAGTAGGAGAAAAGCCGGAGGGCTGCCCAGGCATTGGTCAGCAAGTCCTGGAGTTTGTAAACCAGCCCAGAGCATTCAGGCTCGCCCAGTAAATCCTGATGACCTCCCACTCCAAAACAGTCCCAATAAAAACCCAAAGGCCAGGGTGACACAACTTGGCCTTCATGTTCCCAGATGGTCTCATCTCAGATGACCAGGAGCCTTAACAGAATCCAGGGTAGGCTCAGCTCCAAATGGGGGCTACATGTAGGCTACTGTCTATAGATCCTCCAGGTCAGCCACAGCTAATCTGGTAAGTGGGAAGGCAGCTACAGTCAGAGCATAAATCAAGTAACCTAGTCACCCCTGAAAAGTACATACTTGTTTGACTCAAAGCCAGTCTTCTTCTTCTTCTTTTTAAAAAATGTGTATTATCTTATTTATTTTATTTAACCTGAAGGGCAAAGAGGGCATGGGGCAAAGAGACACAGCTTTTCCATCTGCTAGCTCATTCTTCAAATGCCCACAAACAGCCATCATCTACTGCCTCCTGGGTTGAGTATGAGCAGGAAGCCAGACTGGAAGTGAAGCAGTCAGGACCTGGGTCAGGCACACATATAAGGGAGGTGCTCATCACAAGCAATGTGCAATCCTTTGCGCCCCAACACCCCATTTCAACTCCATCTATTGCTTAACTAATCACAAAGCCCAGTTTTTGAGAGAGGAAATTGGGGCCCAGTACAGTAGCCTAGTAGCTAAATCCTTGCCTTGCATTTCCTGGAATCCCATTTGGCCACTGGTTTGTATCCTGGCTGCTCTACTTCCCTTCCAGCTCCCTGCTTGTGGCCTGAGAAAGCAGTCATGGATGGCCCAAAGCCTTGGACCTTGCACCCACATGGGAGACACAGAAGAAGTTTCTGGCTTCGGATTGGCTCAGCTCTGGCTGCTGCAGCCACTTGGGAGTGAATCAGCAGGCAGAAGATCTTCTTTGTATGTCCTTCTTTCTATATATCTGCCTTTCCAATAAAAAAAAAAAAAAACCTTAGAGAGAGAGAAGGGCCCGGCGCGGT